TCTATCAACATTTTTACCATAAACCAATACCTTTTTTTTTTAAATATTAATAATCCTGTGCTGCTTTAAACCTTGTAGCTTTAGATTTCTACAATTGTTTTATTCAGGATTTTATCATTGTGGCTGATCACAATGTGTTGGGTGTTATCTAATATATAATAGTACGTATATACTAATATTACAAAGATGGAATATTGTTGTATGAAAGTACTTGTATGATAAGAAATGTAGTCCGGATGTTTATCTGCACACACGCTGAATAATATGATTGGTAAATAACTATGTATTATATACCTACAGAAAGTTTTACTGTGCACATAAATAACCACTATATTTAAATTTTACCATTAAAGCTGAAAACAAAAGTCAGAATATTTATTTAGTCACTAGGTGGTCATGAAACGTTTTACTATACTCGAGTACAGTACTGTACTTGGGTACTGAAAAACGTTACGGCGAGTTAAATGGGGGGTCGTCAATAATCTCCAAAAATTGCGTTATGGCGCGTCTAAACGGGCCATGTTTTGCTGCAATTGATGGCTGCACTGTTGGCCACTAATTGCCCGGCCATTACAAAAATATTTTAATGCAGCTGATGGCCGAACAATCTATGGCTGGGCAATGTGTTGCAATAGTATGGCCCATGATGCAGACTCCTAAACGGGCTACACAAACCGGCAACAATGGCTAACAAAATCACACTTGTCGCAGCAGCTTATATTGTTTTAAAAAAGAAACAGAAAAAGAAGAGATTGTGGATTCGACCTTACTTAAATAGGCGTGAAACTGTAGACAATTTGAGTCTAGAAATAAGTCTTGATAATAAATTATTCAAGAAACAGAATGTCAAAAGTAGTCATTTTTACGTAGTAATCTAACGTCAAATACAGCTGATCGCAAAACACAGAATAAAGCAACAGGCACACTTCACTCAAAGCAAACGTCATGTCGCGTAGAAAAGGATACACTATGCCATAACAAAGAGAGTGACTGAAACAACAAGAGAACTGGCCGTGCAATATTGCAGTTGAATTCGATAGCCTAGCGATCGTCCGGCCACCTATCGGGGCAACATCGGCCATATGTGGCTATACAAAACATGTTTGGCTATATGGCCGGGACATTACTGCAATATTGCATAGTGTGGCTGCTATTGTTTGCAATGTTGCCGGCCACAGTGTTGCAGCCATCAATTGCAGCAAAACATGGCCCGTTTAGACGCGCCATTACGTAATACTTGAACATTCCCTTAAGTAGACAATATTGATTGTGCATTCTTCACTAAGCCTAATTAGTATATAAATTTTTACATCTACAATAACAACAAAACATATTTATTTTCTTACAAACCTCCTTGATCATAAGTTTAAAGTAAAGAACAATTAACACTACACCATTAATAGCCGTTATATATATTAGAAGTGATTTTTATCATTTAAAAAACATCACCCTTAATATAATTTCAAAAAGGATCAATCTCGTCTCTCATCTTATAGATATTGTATTAAATTAGCCCTAGTTGGTCATTTAGAAATAGTCTTAACATAAGCTGAGTAAAGATGAGAATATGTCTGTTAGTTCCTATATTTAAAATCACCATGTTGTGCAAATATATGTAATGGCGCTTCTAAACGGGCCATGTTTTGCTGCAATTGATTATTTTTTTTTTTTTGTATATTCTCCATCTGCAATCAGTGCTTTCACTTTTAGCAAATATGTTGGATGCTTATCTCGTTCGGAGTGTGTCCTCCAGTGAGAACATCTACTCATAATTCTTCACATTATAGAATGTCTTTTCGCTTAAGGCGTTTAACATAGCTCTGCATCGTGAGCTGTCGTGCAAGGGCATTGGGGTGGGCTACTAGCCGTTCCCTGTATCTGGATTCTGGTCTTGATATTAGTTATTTCTTCTCTCACTGTGAGCATTCCCAGGTGTTCGTGGATCTCAGCATTAGTCACATACCAGGGGACATTACTGATAGTCCGGAGAATAATGTTCTGCATTCTTTGTATGCGCATGATGGAGGAGTTACAAGCACTACCCCATAGTTGAAGGCCGTACATCCATACAGGTTTCAGGATCGACTTGTACACTAGTAGTTTATTGTCTACAGACAGTTTGCTGTTTCGGCCTAGCAACCACAGGTAGCTTTTATATCTAATATTCAGTTCATCTCGCTTCTTTTTGATGTGATCATTCCATGTCATACGCCTATCAAGATGAAGACCAAGGTATCTGACACAATTCCGGTGAGGAAGGGTGGTATTTTCTAGCTTCACTGAGGGGCAATTGCCTTTGCATAGGGTGTAGGTAACCTGTACCGATTTCGATGTACTAGTTTTGATCCGCCAGTTTTGAAGCCATTTAGTTGTATCATCTAGGCCTTTCTGGAGAATTTTTGAGGCTATTACGGGGTCCTTGTGACTTGCCAGGATAGCGGTATCGTCTGCGAACGTGGCTGTAGTTATGGTACTCGAACAAGGCAGGTCAGCTGTGAATATAGTGTAGAGTACCGGACCCAACACTGACCCCTGTGGTACGCCAGCTTTTATTTCAAAGAAATCTGATGTTGTTTCTCCTTCTTTGACCTGGAATAATCTTCCCGAGAGCTATGAATGAAATATCAAAAAGTAGCAGTGTGGAAGATAACTTTTTATTTTACATAGCAGGCCCTTGTGCCAGACTCTATCAAAGGCCTGTTGTATATCCAGGAACACTGCAGCACAGTATTCTTTTTCTTCCAGTGTCTTTCTTATCTTGTCGCAGACTCTATGAACCTGTTCCACCGTAGAGTGTTGCTGTCTGAAGCCGAACTGATGGCTGGGTATGGTGCCTTTTTCAGATAAGATCGGAAGAATACGTCGAAGAAGTAGTTTTTCGAAAACTTTTGATAGTATCGGAAGCAAACTTATAGGTCTATAGGATGTGACTTCGTTTGGTGGTTTTCCGTCTTTATATATCATTATTATTTGAGATACTTTCCATATATCTGGGAAATGTTGGACTCTTAATATCCCATTACATAGTGTGGTAATGTAGGTTACGGCTTTTCGGGGCAGTTGTGTAATTATTTCTTTGGTTATAAGGTCGAAGCCCGGTGCTTTTCTATCCTTTAGTTTCCTTATAACTCTCCAAACTTCCCGTACTGACACAGGTTTTGGTGGTAGATCCATTTGAAGGTCTTGGTTTAGTGTTGTGTCCACTTGGTCATCAAACTTATCGTCTACGGGATCATTACTTTTGACAGGTGTTTAGCAAATAGGTCTGCTTTTTGCTGTGGTTTTCTCACCCATCCTTCAGCACACTTTAAGGGTGGTTTAGCAGCTTGTGGTCTGTCGAAACTTTTGGTTATTTTCCAGAGCGAGTAGTTTGTAGACTCTGTAGCAGTTAGGCTTTCTAGCTTTGCTTGGAATGAGTTATCATGCCAATTTTGCAATAGTGACTTGAGATCTTCTGCAGCTCTGTTAAAGTTGGTTTTGTCCACAGTAAGCCTACTTAGGTGCCAAATTCTTCAACGTCGTCTCTTCTCAAGGACAGCCTTTTTTATTTCTAGGGGATAGTTGTTTACTCCACTATTGTTGGGGGTCTGAATTTCAGGAGTACTTATCCAGCATGCTTCCTGTATTAACAGCGTTATGTATTTAGCTGCTTCAGTTAAGTTATGCTCAGTTTTAGCTGTTTGCCTCTAGTATTCGTCAATCTTGAGCCCCAGGAAGTATGTTTGGCATTCCAATCTCCACCTACAATATAGCGGTGTCCCAGAGTCTTAAAGAAATCGGAGTACATTGCAATTGATGGCAGCAACACTGTGGCCGGCAACATTGCAAACAATAGCAGCCACACTATGCAATATTGCAGTAATGTCCCGGCCATATAGCCAAACATGTTTTGTATAGCCACATATGGCCGATGTTGCCCTGATGGGTGGCCGGTCGATCGCTAGGCTATCGAATTCAACTGCGATATTGCACAGCCAGTTCTATTGTTGTTTCAGTCACTCTCTTTGTTATGGCACAGTGTATCCTTTTCTACGCGACATGAAGTTTGCTATGAGTGAAGTGTGCCTGTTGCTATATTTTGTGTTTTGCGATCAGCTGCATTTTGATGTTAGGTTACTACTTAAAAATGACTGCTTTTGACATTTTAGTAAAGTTCTTGAATAATTTATTATCAAGACTCAAATTGTCTACAGCTTCACGCCTATTTGAGTAAGGTCGAATCCACAATCTCTTCTTTTTCTGTTTCTTTTTTAAAACAATATAAGCTGCTGCTACAAGTGTGATTTCGTCAGCCATTGTTGCCGGTTGTTTGTGTAGCCCGTTTAGGAGTCTGCATCATGGGCCATACTATTGCAGACATATTGCAACACATTGCGCAGCCATAGATTGTTCGGCCATCAGCTGCATTAAAATATTTTTGTAATGGCCGGGCAATTAGTGGCCAACAGTGCAGCCATCAATTGCAGCAAAAATGGCCCGTTTAGATGCGCCATTACATAACTAAACATTATGTTGCACTGTTATACATATTGCAACTATTCATATGTCAACATAATAATGTATCTTATATTTTCCATTGAGAGCTTTTATTAATATCAGATAAAAATATTTACTCTGCTATAATTATTATTTTGATAAATGTTATGACACCACAATATATGAATTCAGCATAAACACAAATACTAACTTGTTAAGCATAAATTAATTACTATTAAAAAAATTAAGATAACACCACATTTATGAAATAGCTATATATATTATTACCTAATCAATATATTGTGATAGTAAGCATTGCAAATAAAGGACTAGTAAATTAATAACAGCAATTGTATTTTTTTTAACAGCTTACTTCCCCAATAAGATTTTTTATTATAATGAATAGAATGATTTCTTAGCATTTTATTAGTTGTATGTACAAATATTATAATATATTTTTAAACAATGACATATGAATACGTTAACTAGGTTAGTCAAGGGTAATTATTTTGTAATCAACATACCACTTTTGGGCAGATTTTTGATCACATTTACAGCAGCATGAAACTTTTCTTCAATGGACATTTTGCACAATCACTTTAACACACGAGACACGTATTAATTGTACTTTGGACTTGAAAAATAAAACTTAATTGATCGTGGAATACATATCCACAGCTTGCCTTAACAAATTAATTATTGTCGAAATAATACGATCAGTCTTATGTTATTTTCAGTACGGATATTTAGGTGCACTATAACTTAAGTATCAAAGCGAAGACTTACGAAAGTAAATTACAACAAAAAATATGTTTACTTTCAACAATCAAGAGAAACACGAATTCCATGTTTGAGGTGAACATAAAAATCAAAAGCAAGAAATATTTCAAATTATCAATGTGACAGATGACAACGATATGTCAGTTACCTGCGAATATAAGTGACAGACGTCGGCGTCACTGATATTTTGACAGTTTTACTAGCATAAAAAAGCTGAGCTGTAAAGGCCCTTAATACTAGGAAAATACTGTTAGTATTCGTCAAAAGTACTATTAATGTGTGTTTGGCATTTTGCTTTGGTTCATATATAATAAAAAATGGACGGGTTGCACTCCGGGAGTGCCGGCAGAAGTGAAAACTTGAATATTAACGTTGTGCATTTTTGATATTTTGGAATGGTTAGGGAATAATTTCGCACGAATTGCTTTAATTATCAGTATAAAAGTACTATCATTTATGTGGTAGAATACAATATTTATTTATTGCGCTATCGTACACAAACATGACAATTTATATTACATTATATACGCCGCACCAGTTGTCTACTCTCCAGCCGTCTTACGAATTTTCGATCAGGTCACATGTCCTGACGCGAGTTTAAAAATTTTTACACATTCCAAAAAAAGTGTAAAACGCCGCTAAAGAAGTTTTCACTTAAAAAATATTGCATAATGCGTAACTGATTACAATTTATCCTTATTATTAATTGAATTACATAAAAATAGTAGACTGAGAAAATTCGAAAAATACATATTATTGTCAAAACATATAGAATAAAGTGACTCAAAATACAGCCGTAGGTGTATTACAAACTACAACATTCTGACTAGTAAAATATACTATCGTCCACACTACATGATATAAAAAAATTATGAAATACGTATCACACGTGTAAGAAAACTTCCCTAACAGTGAATTATAGGTATCACTTATAAATTAATAAATGTGCGTTTTCCAATTACAGCACTAGAGCGCATTTTGCGGCATAATGCTCAAAATTGAGTGTTCCAACTACAGCAACGCTTCGCACAATTGAGCACTCTCAAAACGAATGCTCTCGCAAACAATACCAACACAGTGACAGAAAATTGACCAGTATTTTTCTTTAAGTTGGCATTTATCGAAATTTTCGTTAGTAAATATTATTTATTGTTGAAAAATTTGTAAGGCTTTCGTTTCGTCGTAGATTTTGAAAATAATTAAAGTTATTTCAAACTGCTAAAAAAATAAATATTAGTATGGATGAAGGTATAAATAGTAACTTTTTTTATATTCCACATTTAAAATATGAATACAATTTTATTTTAAAATTCGGATCTGTAAACAAATTTACTTTACAGGATTATACTTTAGAAAAAATGGCAATGGTTTTGAAAAAGTATATATTTTTTTAGAAATCATTAAAAAATATTACTCAAAACGTAAATGATGTAAACTTCTTACATGAAACTAAATATTTTACTGTTAATTTAGCTTGTTAAAACCTTAGGTATATTCTTTAAAGGTTTTCTCTTATTTCAGTAAAAAAAATTTAATGAAATAATTTGATTATTAAATTAAGCGTAAAAAGTTTTCAACCAATTATTATTGTTTACCACATTATTTATACATTAATGAGGTTGCTAACTCTATTCAGACCATTTTTTTGTCAACACTGACTTAGCGCACTCTGCTGATGCATTTGAAAACTAATTCACGTTCCAATTAAGCTTCAGCATTATGCGGCACTGAGTCGAAAAATGCTCTGTAATTGGAAAACGCACATTATTATCGCTTAATCCATAGAAGTCAGGATAAGGTTTGGTAGTAAGTTGTCTGTGGTATAAGGCCATCTGTACTGTGTACATATCACTAGTTGCAAGTGGGACCGTGTCAAACGAACCATATTCTTATTTATTTGTGGATAAGGTGCTATGCTTACTAGACGTATTTTCAAAGTATATAGGACGACGCGTGCCATGCACGGAGCGGTAACATCATAAATATTTTTTAAGCTAAAGATTAGAGACTGCTAAGATCAAATTTACCAATGATTACTTGCCGAATGCCGACACAATATGTGTAAGGGCACGACGTTGCCGGACCGACGACTATACGTATGATAAAAGATCCGTTAAATAACCCGCTAATTCCCTCAATAAATGAAACAAGGTAATAATATTATAAAACATAATATTTATTTTGTTGAATGCTATTTACATTCCCATGACCTATCCAAAACATGTTTGGATATTAACTGTTTATAATATATTTTTGGGTGTGGTTTCAAAATTTAGACACTTTAAATTTAGCATTAATCTGTATGACTTAAAACTAGGAACATAAAGTAACCTTGTGACTATCCCTCGCTTACATTGTCAGCTCCTGTGGACAAAATTTAGGATAATATAATTAAAAGTTTTAGACAATTCGTTTTGTATTAAGTTATAAAAATCATCATCCTTATTATTATGAGTGATAGATACTCTTGTATAATTAAAAAAAAAACTTATAATTGAATAGGAATTATACAAAAATTCGAGACTATCAGAGTACAGAAAGAGCTACTTTTGAACTTACCATAATAGCATTGACAATATCTGATTGATTGTTCCGAAGTGCCCGAACTGCTTTAGCTCGAGACACATTGGCTTGGGACATGACTATTTCTACATCCTTCTCATCGACACCAGTTTCATCTACACCCTCTTCATCTTCTTCTTCAGCTATTGGTGCTACCGTCTGTAAAAAACCAGTACATAAAATCTTACTGAAATAAAGATTTTTATAAATAACTTAACTTTGTAACAAAAGAATCAAGGTACCATCATGTCTGAATTATGTTATCACTTTTCAGTTCAGAATAAAAAAATAGTTTTATTTCATTGTTGAAACATCTAGTCACATCTTGAGATGTAGCTGAGAGATGGTATCTATATAAAAAGTAGTACATAGCAAGTAATATAAAAGGTAACAAAATTGTTGCCTAAAACAATTTACTTACCGTTCCAGCAGTAGCAGTATCATTTCCAGCTGTTGTAGTTTCAGGTGCTTTGAAACGTTCAGCAGCTGCCATAGTTGCCTGTTGTGAAAGATCTTCAATCTTGGCCTCTCCAAATACTATGTATGTGTCAGAGTGAGGGTTCTTGTAAACATCTGGTGAGTTGATAACAAAAAGAATGTTCTTAGACTTCCTTATTGTTACTCTGTTTACTCCTTGTACCTAAAACGGCATTATCAATATATTATGTATGTGTAACTACTAAATTATAATTTAGCATAGTTTGATTAACATGCTCAAATATATTTCTTTTGTAATAAAAACATATTTATGTATTTTTTTTTAGCGAAACTGACGAGCTTAAGAAAGTTGGTGGAGAGGATTGGGAGAAAAATGCTCAAAACAGATAGAGATGGAGCCAATTGGAGGAGGCCTATACTCAATAAGAGGTCCATGAAAAAAATATATATATACATGTATGTATTTTAAGTGTGTGTATATTTTTCAAGGAATAAATGAAGCTTAATTATTATTATTTTTTGTTTAATTTTAAAATGAATTGCTTACAGGCTTAAGTCCCAACTTGCTCATGATTTTTCTAGCTTTCTTTTCCCCACGAGTTTGCTTTGCTTTAGAGACAATATCAATGCCTGCAATGGGGTTAGTGATACCTCCAGCTCCTGGTGCACCTGAAAAATGACTAAAATATTACCATACCATAAACCATTTACTATTAAGATACTATGTTTTATACTAACATAAAAAATTTAATATCTAAAAAATTATAGCTAGGGTGTTTACCCTGAGATTTCATATTTTAATAGCACTAATTAAACAGCTAAGCTTATCGTTAGTTTAATGTTAAATATATTACAATCATATTACCTGCATCTTCCAATTCTGGGATGGAATCATCAGAATCACTGTCTGAAGAGGCTGTCTCTTCCTTCCTCTTCTCAGTCATGGAAGCTGTAGCTTTGTCTAATTCTGTGAGTTCAGGCATTTTTATCTGCTTTTGGTTCCTGAAATTATTATTTAATCTGATGATTACAATTTCTTAGTAACTTGATATCTTCGCCTGTGATAGGTGTTGAATACAGTTCTTGTGTACATACGATTAAAGAATCATAGAAGTAAAGTGTTAATTGCCCCATGCGATAAAAATTATATAAATAAGAGAGATGTCGGCTAAACGCCGCTACAAATGCGGACTTCAAATAACAATACCAAAATAGTCGATATCAAAAATAAATCACTAACACAGTCACAAAACTATTAAAGATCACAATTACGTTGTTTATCCCCACAATTTAAACACAATAAAATAGATTTCAACGGATTATTTACCTTGTACAAAAGTAAAACTCGCAATAAGAACTTTAGAACAATTTTGGATGTCAAAATCACTCCCAGCTTGGAACAAACTTGATAATTGACATCTGACATTATGTACATTAAAATTTTACCATCTGTGCGAAAAAAAGTATTTTTTATCTGTATGCAACAAATTGTAAATAATAAACACTAATGTCAAAAGTGTCTTTGAGTCTTTTGCTTGCTTACTGAAAATATTCAAGAAAAGAAATCAGTTTGGATCCTAATTGTGTATTAAGAAAATTTTAAAATGTCCATGTTCCCGGGAACTGTGGCTTTCGACGAATATGGTCGTCCTTTTATTATTCTAAGAGACCAAGAAAGCCAAAAACGGATGACCGGTATTGATGCTTTGAAGGTACATTTCTTAAATTACGAATTGTGTTAATTTAGTGACAAAACTACATATTTTACTTTCTTACGATCACAATATAATTAAATTAAATTGTTCTAAGGGACCGTAATATTTCGTATACTTTTACTATAGTTGTAACCTTAAAAGTATTTAGAATATTTATCAGAAATATTAGGAAAATTATGTTTGTCTTATAAACTCACAATTAAGTCATTTTTAAGTGGTTTATCAATATACGTTCGTTGTTTTCCAAAAAAAATGGTGTAATTTACGTAAAAAATCATTGAAAGTACACAGGTGGTATTCTGTTCAGTTCTGAGTCACATGATACATTATACGAAAAAATCGACGCTCGTTTTCGTTTAAAGTTTCCAATACAAAAAACAGTCAAGTTTAATCTCAGAATTGCTGCCCCTTATGCATTAAAAGGGAAATTTTATGTTATCTAGTTTACTATAAATTTCTCAAATTTTTAAGTAAAAAATGTCTTTTAGTCCCATATTCAAGCAGCACGTCAAATCTCGGGGATCCTCCGAACATCTTTGGGGCCCCGTGGTCTTGACAAAATGATGGTATCTTCTGATGGTGAAGTGACAGTCACTAATGATGGAGCTACTATTCTAAAGATGATGGATGTTGAACACCAGATTGGAAAATTGATGGTACAACTAGCTCAGAGTCAGGATGATGAGATTGGTGATGGTACCACTGGAGTTGTTGTCTTAGCAGGTATTGTTTAATATCAGTAACTTTAATCATACTTGTGTCAGCTATTTAATTTTCAGCCCTAATAAAATTGTTTTAAGCTGCTTTTTTTGTCAATGTTAAAGTTTTTCTTTCAAAAGTGTGAGAATATTTATATAATAATATAAACATAAATTAAACACATTTGTTGTCTAATACAAAACTAGTTAGTTTTTAACCACAATTTTTTTTAGGGGCTCTATTGGAGCAGGCATCCAACTTGTTAGATAAGGGTATTCACCCTATAAGAATTGCTGATGGTTTTGAGTTAGCTGCAGCAACTGCTTTGGCACACCTTGACAGCATCAGTGAAGCCTTCCCAGTTAGCAAGAACACAAGGGAACATCTTATAAAGGTTGCCATGACAACCCTTGGTAGTAAAGTCGTTGTTAAATGTCACCGTTTGATGGCGGAGATTGCTGTTGATGTAAGTTAAGGCTTGAATAATTATATCTATTATTGTTATCTAAGATAAATTTTTGCTGGAGTACTTTGTTTTTGAAGAGTTAAGAAAGTAAGTCCCTACTATGTGTTTAGTATTTTTTATTTTAATAATTAAATTTCTTATTTTAAGGCTGTTCTGTCAGTAGCAGACTTAGAGAAGCGTGATGTCAATTTCGAACTGATCAAAGTTGAAGGGAAGGTTGGAGGAAGGATGGAAGATTCCATGCTTGTCCGTGGTGTTGTTATAGACAAGACTATGAGCCATCCACAAATGCCTAAAGTTCTTAAAGATGTAAAACTGGCAATCCTAACCTGTGCATTTGAACCACCCAAGCCCAAAACCAAGCATAAGCTCCAAGTTGGCTCAGTTGAAGAATACAGAGACTTAAGGCAGTATGAACATGAGAAGTTTATTGAAATGGTTCGCAAAGTTAAGGATACTGGTGCTACACTGGCCATCTGCCAATGGGGCTTTGATGATGAAGCAAATCACCTTCTCCTGGCTGAACAGTTGCCAGCAGTAAGGTGGGTGGGTGGACCAGAGATGGAGTTAATAGCTATCGCAACAGGTGGTCGCATTGTGCCTAGATTTGAGGAGTTATCCCCAGAGAAACTTGGACACTGTGGACTTGTCAGAGAATTGAGTATGTATTGGTAAAAATTTAATTCATTACTTATATGTAAAGGCCACTCAAATATAAGAACATCTTTATAGATAAGTCTTCAAATGAGGAAGACCTTTTAAATTTATTTTATATTTTCTTGTAACATATTTATACAAGTTAAGTTTTTATATCAATCAATTACAGCTTTTGGCACAACAAAGGATGAGATGTTGGTGATTGAAGAGTGCTCAAACTCTCGCGCTGTAACAGTTTTGGTTCGTGGTGGTAACCGAATGATTGTTGAGGAGGCAAAACGCAGTGTGCATGATGCATTGTGCATTGTTAGAAGTTTGGTTCAGGTAATTTATATAGAAACATTAATTATCTAATCAAAATATCATCTTTATCATATGTGGTGAGTGTTTTAGGTGTGAAATCATAAAATGTAAAACTCGTTAAACCAACTCCTAAAAATACTTTTATATAATTAACCATGTTTTTATGGTTACATAGTGTAATGTTTAGAGTGTGCAGTATGGTAACAGACTTAAAAATTCTTGAAGCAGGAAATTTGTATTGTGATGTGTTGCAATGCAAATATTTTATATTTAGCATACAGTTATTTTAGTCATAATTTATTTTTATTTTATCTTTCTTAGGACTCACGTGTAGTATATGGTGGAGGTGCAGCTGAAGTGTCCTGTTCCTTGGCCGTCGCTCGTGAAGCTGATAAATTATCTTCACTTGATCAGTATTCCTACAGGGCTTTTGCTGATGCCTTGGAAGCTATTCCTATGGCATTAGCTGAGAACAGGTAATCAGTTTGCTACTTTGCCTTTGTTGTATTAAAACACTGAGCCACAATATAACTTTTTTTTAATAAATACAAACTCAGTATAACAGAGAGATAGAGGCTTTCAAATAATGGTTATGTAACATGTTTTGTTCTTAGTACTTGTAATATAGAGATGCCAATGATGATAAAATTTCATTTTTAAATCATGAATTATAATGATTATTTTCCTTGGCTGTGTCTGAGGCATCTTTTAAAGTGAATTAGTATTATTTAGTAGTAAATTGTAATATTCTGTTACCTATCGCCACAATATGTTACTCTTGATATCTCTACAAGCAATTTGACACACTGCCATAGTCTAGAAAGTAAAATAAAGTTTAATCTGTAATTTTAAGAGGAATCCATTTTTCAGTGGTTTGTCTCCAATTGATGCTCTATCAGATGTGAAGGCTCGTCAGGCAGCCGAGAACAATCCAAATCTTGGAATTGATTGCATGAACAGTGGTAAGTTTATGTTAACTTAGTATTGATTGAATTGCCAATTCAACAGAAAAGATTACAATTTATCAGTAACTATAGCCTTATACTATTTTAACATTAATTTTTGTTTTTGGTAGCTATATATTTATCCAACCTGATAGGTTTTCTTAACATAATGCTGATGCAGTACATTTTTTTCCAGATTCCAATGATATGAAAGCACTCAATGTGATTGAGTCCCTTCACTCTAAGAAGCAACAGATTGCACTAGCTACCCAACTAGTCAAAATGATACTCAAAATTGATGATGTTCGCTCCCCAGCTGATAATATGCAATAAATTGTATTAAAATAGCCCCCTTAGTCCAAGTATTTTTAAGTTGGCTAAACTTAATTTATATAGGGGGGTCTTGAGTATTGTTTTTGTTTGCTTAAATAAATAGACATTTGTGCATAATAATAAAGCACATATTGATCCTAAAAAATCTGTTTTCGAATAAAATATTATAAATAATAGCAATTGCTTTATACTGCTTCTATAATGTGCATGTATGCCTTATACTGTATCTTAGTTTTTGGTACTGTCAACACTATGAGGAAGATATTTCAAGGAATTAAATAAATGGCAAAAAGGTTTATGAACAATTTATTCTTAAAACTGAAGTAAAAAATCTAAAAAGTATTCTCAGCATTTGGTTACACTTTTATACCAATTTAACCAATAGTTGATTTGTTTGCTTCATCTGTGAATAATTCACAAAGCATTTTATTTTAGTTGTTAATTTACTTTATGTCACATACTAGATGTATTCACATATTTTAATTATTAATTTAATTCTAATAAAACTTATTTTGAAATTAGTGGTGGTTTTAAACATTTAACACAACTTACAGCCACTCTTATTTTATGGAGATCTGAGTGAATATTTATAGAAATTATTAACAAAATCAGCTTAATAACACTGTTTATCAATTCATTCTGTGATTGTGTTAGACATGTCAGCGTTTTACTTTAAATATTGTAATTTGACCTATTAGTGGACTGATTTACAAATAGATATTTCTCTGATAATACAAACCACAAAAGAGCTTTATTTCATTGAAAACAGCTTGAAAGTATACAACAGCGTAGTGGGAAATAAAGCTTTATTAAGTACACATGACATGCATTTATTGTTAATAGGTATACTGTATTGTATTTGTTGGTTTAAACAATTTTGCTTAGGTTAATATGTAATGGAAATCTTCAAGATAATAAAATTAATAAACTATTTTGAGTATTTTTTACCAAGTAAGTTACAATCAGATATTTCTGTCTCCATATAAAGTTATAAGGATTTAATTCTAATGACATAATTAACATAACTGTACTACCTATTCAGATTTACATTATCAGGGTTATTCCTACATTTAGCAATTACCATGTTAATTAATTAATTATATGTATGTTGGAAATAATAAGCTAACTAGGAGCTTCTATATAATAACAACATGACATGGATTGTCCCTCAATCTCGTATTAAAATTTCAGTCTTGGCATAAATATATATGTTTATATTATCTTTTTACAATATCCTAAAAATAATGTGGTAATTTACATGTAAGTTGGACAACATATTTTTAAGTTTGGCATTTCATGCTAATTATATAAAAACTTTTACACCAAACTAAGTATTAAAAGCTTCTAATATATATTGTGGAATAATAAAACAGGTAAGTTTCAAAACTAAGATGAGCATGTTGGGATTCAACTCTTTTACATGCTGTCTTACCACTATTAAGGGTTATAGAGGTATTTCACAATCCTATACTAATTCCAAATAGTGGTATTGATTTCCATTAGTAGTTTAGAAATCTAACTCATGGATGTCCCAAAACATCATATTTTTGTTAATCCAAAAATAATGTACATATTTTTATACATAGAATTTACATGAAATGTATATAATACTTTATTAGAAATGTAACATTTACCGAGCGATATCCTTTACTCTGAAGAATTTCTCGCTCGTTTTCTACGCTATATATCAAACCTTTCAAATGCCAAATTCCTCCCTTCCTCTTCATATTCTTCTTTTGTTAAACAAAATGAGTAAAACTCAGGATCTTTAAACAAATACTTTCCGCCTTCCCAGGCATAGGTAATTGGATTTTCAGCAATACTAACATTTACATCAAAGTGGTCTAATGCTAATGCACGAACTTCATTAAAAACTCTATCACGAAAACCAGGAAACAAAGCATTACCACCATACAATATTATATTCTCCAACAGACTTTCCTTGTTACCTTCCGGACAGGAATCAATACTATTAATTATTGCTTCTGGTATACCCATTTGTGGTATTCCAACATCTGATGGATGAAACAATAGTTCTGGTATGCTAAATCGTTCATTGTTCATCCGTAATGTTTGTTGTTCTAAATCTTCATTTGGTCTAACAATATCTCGAAGATATCCTCTCCTTAATGTGGTGTAATCTGGTAAAACATAGTCCTTAACTATTGTGTTTCTAGAACCTGCAGAACACAAAAAGATTTATAATAATAAAAATGAATAATTCAGCTAACAATTTTAAATTTATTATGTTATTTAGTTTTTAGGAAGTTAGTGCTAACGTTGAATTTCCAAATAATTAACCATTTACTTAAGCAGTTAAATCACCAAACAGCAACGACGATGAGGTAGAACAAAGAATCAAAAACTCATGGAAAAGTTTCTGGTCTCATAAAGAAATACAGTAATGGACACATGTATTTTACCTTGTCCAATATGTGCTTTATTATATGCAAGCCAAACATGGGTATTAACTAACAAAGTGAGAAACAGATTGCTTACGACACAACATGCTATGGAAAGGAGCATACTGAAAATTAAGAAGATACAAAAGATAAAGAACAAAGACATACGCCAACAAACTAAATTAACTGATGCTCTTAGGCACGCCTTAAGAATGAAATGGCAATGGGCAGGACATATCTCTTGATACATCGACAAAAGATGGACTGTACAAACTACAAAATGGACTGGTCCACTTGGTAAGAGAAACAGAGGTCGACCCAAAAAAAGGTGGGTGGATGACATAGTCAAAGTAGCAGGTGGAAACTGGATTACTACAGCTACAAATAGAATAAAATGGAAAAAAATGGAGGAGGCTTTTACCCAGATGGGATCCAAACTTTGAATATACTAATGTTACACATACTAACATAGACTAAGATTACTACATATTACTAACATATAAAATATTCTTACTTCTTTTTTGTACCTTAATGAGTTTGGAATAAATAAAGATATAATAATAATAAGCAGTTGACACCATATTATTAAAGATTTACCTGTTCTTCTAGTTATTTGCATATCTCCCATGAAATCATGTGATACAAAACAGGAGTCTTCCTTTGCCTGATTAATAACATAACTCTCTTCCATAACATTTAGCTGACGATAACTTAAAATCTCTTTTAAATGGTTAGTTAAGACTTTTCCTCCAACATCTATGCGCCTAATACCTTCCTTATACTTTTTTCCATTTATATATGGCACTATGTAAGTAAAGCTGTAACCAGAATCAACAACTACGGTACCTTCATTTTTATGAAGTTTTCTATAATGATATTCTGCCAAATCTGTTGCATTAATACGTAATAATGACTGACATTCGTACTCCTCAAAAAAAATTTCCGTCATTGCTTCTTGAATTGAATGAAAGTTAAACAAAGGCTCAGTCAAAATCAATGGAGTTTCACTAAAATTTACTGGACAACATTCTTTGCTAAATATATAGTCCCATATTGTTTTTTGCGTGTCCCAATTGATAAGAAATCCTTTTTGGAATGGTAATATATAAAATAAGCCCGAAGCATCACGACATTCATCAAGCTGTGAGGCTATGAATGGTCGACGGCGTTCTGATTTAGCTTTCATAATACAATTGGGTACGATCTTCGGCTCCATTGTAGATAAACCTACTTTAGCTGTATAAGCTCCATTATCAAGAATATAACATGAAGTTTCACTCATGTTTGTTGAAGGTTACCGGCGAAAAGGTTGGAATGTAAATTCTAGATAAAATTATACACAATTTTAGCATGAATTATTTTTTCTGCTTACAATATTGAACATTGCCAAAAACGTTTATTGTTTAATTATTAAATACTACGGGTAGTATATTCATTATTCACCCACAAAAACAATTAAAACTTGTAAGTTGTAACAAATAACTATGACAATTGACAATCAACATGAAACATCACAAACGCAATATAAGTGACATGACAATTGACAACAATCAACTTAATTTCAACCACAGAATATAATTATACAATTTCAGCCAGGGTAAAGTAGAAATACTTTTATTTTTTAGCAAATTCTCAAACAAAACATATATTTATATATTTAATTTCTTCACATTAAATAATTTATATAGTTCAAACTATACCTTTACAATAATATATTAAAGTATACTTTGAATTATAAGTATATTATTTAGTTACTCTAGACTTCTAGAGAAGAAACAACTATTCGATATATAATTTCAGCAAGTTATATTTTGTTTAGTAAGGGTTAAACTTGGCCACAGAAAATATAAATATGGTTGAAGGGCTTCTCTAACAACTTAGTTGAAAATAAGACTTATTTAAAAAAAATTACAGTTTCTCTATTATAATTTATTACAACATAATACACTTTTCTAGCTTAACCTAAACTGATTTAAGGAATTATGAGATTACCTGTAACAAAATAAAAATAACATTATAATTTAAAAGTAATATGCACATAAAATAACTAGTTTTATAAAGCATTTTTAATTCAAATTATAACTGTCACAGATGAAAACATGCATATCTAAAAATATATATAAATTTACTAAACGCTTGCAAAAACAGGATGTTCTTACAGTTGATTTCATACTTATGGGTAACCCTCCAAATGTTGCTTGCAATTTTAAACTAACTCAGATTTCAATGACTCAATAATTGGTAGCCATGGGCTCTTCCTAACAAAGAAGAATTAAGATATGATCTAAGACCAATTTTCTATGCTAGTGCAATATACATATATATTTAATGTTATATAGTAGTATTTGAAACAGACAGTTTTAGAATCCTCTTGAATTATGCCATAATAGTTTTAAAAGTAAACACAAAAGTAAAATTGGTGTCTGTTATCTCAACAGTGTAACATATAGTCCTGTCAAAATGCAGTAAGGCAAATGAGGACATTAACTGAAATAGTGCAGTTAGTCTAATTTAGTTTTAATAATTACTGGGACAAATCTTATTTAAACAGGTAATACTAATTACTTCTTAAGCAGTTGGTGGCGGGTGATGAGGAAGGGTGCTCCTAGACCGGATCCAATGAAAACAGTAAACAATAAAGTTAGCTTGTGCCTGTTGTGGATGTCAAATGGCAGATTCTGAAAATTAGCATAATAACTTTGTTATATACAGAAATAATAAAATGTGTACTTATTTTGTTAGTATTTACTGTAGAGTGAGAAGTCAATAAAAAACCAAGTCAAATGCCTATAAGAACATATTATTTCGAACCATAACATTACATGTTGAATAGGAAAAATAGGTAAAATGAAATACTGTTAAAATTATAAACATAAGTAATTTAAAAAAATACTATATTCCTACATAGATTTTATGGTAAAATAGTTTTCTGACATATAGATTACAAACTTTTAAGGTTACTACATCAATAGCAATACTAGTTGGTAAAAAGATTATAATCGCAATAATTACATGTATAGCATGTGCATATTGACTAACATCCGAAAAATATTATCATTCTTATTGGAGTAGAAAGTAGGTACATGTATTACAGTTTAAGTTTTGACAAAAGAGGATTATGTAATATTTTGAATTTGGAACTTACCTCGCCAGGGACCCCACCATGGGAATGGTTTCGCACGAAGTTAGACATAACATTTCTGCCTAATCTAGTCGAAAGACGAGATAATGGAGCCTGCATTGTTACAAATTAGGTTTTATCACTGCAAGATGGAAATGAAAATATCCGCTAAACGCAGTCGCAAAAGGCTATCTAAAATCGAACACTCTCTATCTCTTTCTAGGAATATGCACGCTTTAACTACCATTGCGTTTAAGAAATTTGGTAGTTTCTTGATCACAAAATCTGAACGCAACCTATACTTAAAAAATAAAACAACAAATAATATGAGCTCTATCAATTTATTTAGCTATTTATAGATAATTTTCTCTTACAAATTATGTAAATCATTGATTTGGTAACAAACATTATTTTCACTTGTCCACGCAAGAATTATATCTGAAAAGAAGTTGAATAAATGTAATGCTTGTTCCGTATATTATTAACTTAGGATAATATAAAAGAAATCATGAAATAAACAATGGTAATTACTTTCTGTATTCATAATTCACATTGCTCGTATATCGGCAAGATAACGTGATTGCTTAAAGAAAGAATAGCAAAAACACGATCATATTATATGAATGTGTCTGCTATGCGGGCAAATCCAATGTGGATTTCCAGATATATTGTCTTATCTATAATATATTCTTTAAAACACTTTCATTATGGTAACGTTAACTTAGGTAATGTGTGAAGTGTAATAACGTTTATTGTTCAGATATATGTACAAAAATAAAAACACATTCTAATATGTAGATTTTGTCGCAGCGTATCCCACGTTTTGTACTATATGGCCATTTACGTTTAAATTATTTCTACATTGGCATATGCTATGTGCAAAACAAATTCAATAAATAATAATTTTTACATCTTGTATTGATGTTGTATGATTTCTAGTAAATGAAAATATTGTCATTCTACCGAAAACAATGGATCATAAACTTCACGAGGTTGTTTCAATCGCATAAACTCGCCTATCCACTTTCAGGTGTACAATAGATACAATATGAACCATTCATATTCTATTTTGAAAGTTTCGTATTTGGAACCTATATTTTTATATTGGTTGTCATTGGTTGTATCCAATGACATTCAAAACAAATCAAACATGTTTTGATTATTCTAAGTAAAGATTATATACAAATATACCTACAGTATTTACAATATTCTTACTAAGTAATTTTTTTGTTAAAAAATATGTGTTTATTTTTTTCCGGTAATAGGTCAATAAAAAAATTCACCTTGGTTTTCTAATATTCCAATCTAAAACTTGCAAGATAGATCAGGTAACAGAACACAATTATTAAGTGTATGCATTACGCTTAATCAAGAGAATATTATTATTAACAAAACATAATCTATTGAATTCATAAGTCATTGAATTACATACTTGACCACTTATTAAGAGAGTAATACAAACATTTGATATACACATACAACTATGGAAGGGTTTTCGTACTTATTGATTTTTTGAAAGGTAAAAGGACGACTTCAACACTATAATCAAATAATAAAGAATGACTTAGATACCATCTTTATAGCATTCTGACATGAAACCAGGCTCACCCCTATTAAAAATTAAACACAATTAGAGCTTTAGGTACACTAGCCCGTCTGACCGTGTTTGCTTATTTGAAAAGAACATAATTTCCGATTTGCTAAGTCAATTAATCGAGACATAATCAGGCTGCAACCAAAGGTCAGTCTTTCTAGACAATTAATATTTCACGGAGAATCGAAGCTGAGGATAGGGAATACATCTTTAACCATCAAATCAGCTGTCGTTAACTATTTTTGTGTGAAGCACTATTTGTATATTGTGTTTAGAAAATACTTAGGTAAATGTTATGCAAATGTAATAGAGAAAATTGCTTAGAATATATTTGTGTTTTGAATAATAATTTTCATTACAGAGAATGCGAAAATGAGTTTTACTTATATTAAAAAGAGAAATTTAGGTAATATGATTTTAACGCATTGTTTTAATTTACTTCATATTTTGTTGTTAATTTTTTTAATATCATAATTCATCTTATTTTTGGGCCTATGCTTAAATCACCGGGGATCGAGGTCGTAGGTTCGATTCCCTGGTTGTGCACCAATGGACTTTCTTTCTATGTGCGCATTGAACATTTGCTAGAACGGTGAAGGAAAATATCGTGAGGAAACCGACATGTCATAGACCCAAAAATTCGACGTCGTGTGTCAGGCACTGGAGGCTGATCACCTACTTGCTTATTAGATTAAAAAATGATCATGAAACAGATTCAGAAATCTGAGGCCAAGACCTAATCTATCTTTAAACTATTCACAATTACTTTAGCAATTTACCGTAAAAGTGCATCATTATCCTAGTTTTATTTAATTTAATTGGTTTCCACATAATATTGGTTAGAGCAATAAACTGTTATACCTATGGTTGTGTTGGAACAACTAATTAAACCTTTATGACATTACACGGAATCACCGCTGTAACTATATATTGACTGCGGACAAGGAAAATAATAAGCAAATATTTTTCCTGTTCCTTGTTACGAATATCAGCCATTTTACTGCGGCAATAGAATTTTTAAAAATCTTTACAATGTATTAAAAAAAGTCTTAGTTTTTCAAACATTTTTAAATTTTTGAGGAGTTGACAAACTTTAAAGGAAGTTCCCAAGGGAATAATCAGATATGATTTTTGGCAATAGGAATGCATCATGAGTTTGTTAGTGCTTAAACAACCAGGGATAAAACCTAAAAAAATATCGCTAGGAGGAAATACTACTTTACGAATTCCATGCCTCGTTGATAACATTTTTTACATTTCGTTTTCGTAATAAAATAATTCCTTAACATAACATGCAAGAGCAAATACTTCTTACCTTACTTCACTTCTTTTACTTTTTCATTTGGTAAGCTGTGATGACAAATGGTGATGAAATACCAGTCAAAATGTAGAGGAAGAAATTGACAGTCAATCGTGTTCTGTTGTGAATGTTGAAGGGAAGGTTCTGAAAGTTTTATAATAACTTCTTCTTTATTCGCATTTACAATTTACATTGTTAAGATTAATTAATAAATCAACATGTAAAAATAAGGCACATATCATAGAATTCACAAGCTTCGAGAAGTATAAATGTGAGAGTATCAGAAATACCTCTCCTCCTTAGTTAAAACGTGTAACAGTCATACGAATAATAGAAACTTCCAAACTTCGATTACAAAACCAGATATTTGCTTAAGTCTAAAGGTATTCTTATTTCTAGTAATATTGAATTTATCTAGTCGTTTAAACATTTATACACACATGTCTAAACTAATTTTGAAAACAGTATAAGATATAGGAGATTATTTTTAATATACTACCAGCGTGGTTTGACATTCTAATGTTACGTAACTATTAAGGTAAAAAAATTAATAGCTTAATAAATAACTTACCTCCCCTGGAACACCACCATGGGATCCATTCCTGATGAAAGTTTTCATCACATTCCTTCCAAGGAGGTTTGATCTGGTTACAACACCCAACATTGTTGCGTTGGTTATTTGTTCTAAATGAGTCCCTTGGCCAGGTAGATTAGATAAATATTGATAAATGTCGATACGTCTGTCCCGAGGCGTAGTGATAAGCAAAATGTAACGTTTGCTTACTAGCCAGAGCTTACGTATTTCAGTTATAAAAGGAAGAGGTCGGTTCGGGGTCAAAGCAAATAAGGCATAAAGGGTCCTTAATTATAAGTAGTAAATCTAATAGACAAAATATAATATAAAAAAATGAAATTGTATGTTAAAAATATTATCAAATTGACGATGGGAAACACATTAAACTACTGTTTGGTATTTGGACTGTTGTTTCGTACTAAATAATTTGTAAGTAAAATATGTTTTTATCATCAGTTAGAGTTTGAAATGTATTGATGGAATTATTATTTCAAAGTTTTTTTTAATGTGTGAGTTATCATTCTACATTCTCCGAATCGTTTAGTTAAATCTAAACATAACAATCAAATATACAGTATTTACAATTTTCTTAACCTACATATAGTAATAATAAAACTTAATAAAAAGAAAATTCAAACAAATGTAAAAAGTTTGGTCCCACTGGCAGAGTACCTTAAACGCTGGCAGCAATTCCTCGCTGTATTGCGATACTTATTCGTTGAGTTGGTCAGCGGTACTATCTACCAGTCGCAAACTTAAATCTTTAATTGCACTTGAACCCCACGGCCCAAGACTCTCAACTCCAATGGGAACAAATCGAAGTTGGAGGAAAGACTCTTATATTTGACCCGAAGGTATAATTTTTTTTATTGTGTCGTCGGCGTCCACATTCTCAGCATGGAGATATATTTCACATTTATCAAAATTTCAAGTTAGACCTATTGAACTAAACTTAGATAGATCTGAAAGTGAAAATCTGCGTTACCTCATAAAGTACCATCGTCAAGATATCAGACGTTAAAATTTAATTTTAAATTTTGTATGCAAGAATTTATTGCGAGACTAAAAATAGCCAGCCCAGGATGATCACCTTTTGGACAACCAACTTCTGAAGAGAGTTCATAACTCTTGTATATTAATTTTGATGTCTCTGAGTAACACTATAAAATATATTTATATATACAGTAAAATCTCTTTATTCGCGGGGTATACGTTCCATAAATATGCCGCGAACACAGAAACCGTGAATACAGAATGGTAATTTATATGGGTTTATAGGGGATACGTTCCTAGGTGCCAAAATAAAAAACACAAATATATAAGACAATCAATTTTATTAATGTTATTGAACATTTTGATTATGTAATCATTATCCTCAGGCTTGGGCAATGGTTTGAAGAATTTTGTTATTTTCTCTTGCTAGGCAGTTTTTAATAACTCCTTCAATTCAGACTGATACGCAGTCGCATTAGCAATTTGCCTCTTAAAATTAAGACTTCGTTCCATAGATGGATCAATGTTCATAAAAAAATGTCGCAAAGCTCATTTGCCATTCTTAAGCCTTCACTAAGATTTTTCAGAGTAAATGTCACATTTTCAGTGCTAGTTGAAGCCTCTTCTTCAATGGGCTGAGAATTTAACATTTCCTCCAAGTCGGTTTCAGTCAAATCTTCATCTTGCGATTCAAGCAATTCCTGAATGTCACTTGATTCTGTCTGTTCGAACCCATCTCGTCCTATTCCATTTGCAATTTCGGCTATGTTTGCAGTCAAAGTTTGAACTTGCACGGATTCTTCGTCATTTTCCGCAGTCAGTGCAGGCCATAGTTTTTTCCAGCATGACTTCAATGTGTGTGGTTTCAGTTCGTCCAAATTTTTTTGCCGCGAATAAAGAAATTGGGTTGCATTTTTTTTATCCGCGAATAGTGCAAACGCGAATAAAGGAAGCGCGAATAGGGAGCTTTTACTATATATTTGGAATGTTTTCAGAAGCCTTTCTCAACAAGATGTCCCTTCTTATTGACTTAAATGCATTTTTAACATCAACTTTCAACCCTTATCTTACCTTTCAGGCCTTATCTTACCTTCTTTCTTGGTAAGAGCCACCAAGATTGACCCATATAAAATGGGGGCAATAGCTTGATTTATCTCCCCACAAAGCATTTTATTTATAAGTTATTAAGGGCTTCTTAAAGACGAGCACCTGTTTTACCAACACTGAATGATGTTAAATCTTTTAGATGTTGGGGTGACAGCCCATCCACGCCAGCAGCTGAACCAGGATAAATTTATAGCGTTTAAAATTTAAATGCTATAAATTCATTTAAACCATAAAATCGTCAGTAGACTGAATTTGAAGGCAGCCTGGACATCTGTGAGAAGGTGTAAAAAAGGTGTGTCTGAAGCATTGGCATATCTTGACTTAAGCGCTGCAAGAGTATTCGGGGTGTCAGGGGCCAGTACATCATTTGAGAAAAGGTTCATACTTAATTACTAATATATGCTTAACAACACAATAACTTAATTATTATGATGCATATCTATTGATTTGATAAATATGAATTAAAATTCATATTTTTAATTATTATATATTAACAATAATAAATTACACTAAAGTGTATTACAATTAATATCTTTTTAATTTCAATATTATATTAATTTAAAGATGCTAATTTATATATTCCCACAAGGCCTGAAATAGAGCATTTAATAATAAAAGGTAGTATTGGCGTCTACAAGCCGTCGGAAATATCTGCGAACCTCGCTGGAATGCGCTTCCCCTGGCGCCCCCGCACCCCGCCCCGTTTTCGCCTATCCAGTACCGTTGCCAACGCAATCGCCGACGCCGCACGTGTATTATTCTTGCTTTCGTAATCGCATTTTAGTGTTTATTGTTTCTCTGTTTGGTGAAATATTACATAAACTACCTATTTAGTGCTGTATGTAAGATGGGTAGGTACGAGTATCAATAAAAATAAGTACACAAATAAAATATTTTTTATTTTTACATCTTCAATTTTTTTGCTATCTCTCCAGTTTGTATGACGTCATTAAGCCAGGTTCGCAGATATTTCCGACGACTTGTAGATTAGATACCTACAGTTAAAACAAATTAATATTAATATTTTCGTACAATGTCTTAGCAGCTTCATTTTGGTATTAAAAAACCATTTTAACTCCAAATATTGAGTGCATATTAATAAAAACATAATGTATCTTTCACTAGGAAATTCTTGATAATTTAGTTATTAATATGAAGTAACAATTTTAAAAGTTATTTTCACGAATTCTACCATTTTATATTATTATAGTAGAATGATCAGCCATGTTAATTGTTACATAGACTTTAGTCTATGCTTGATGCTTAACTGAACTGGCATTTGGCAACACTACTATATGCCATTTCATTAAAAAAGAAACAGTCGGCCACGCTTGCCACTAAATCATTCCGGGGGAGTATTCACGTATTTCCCCCTTTTAATTATATTTTATTCCAATATTACTGTTTTTTTACGTTTTACAACAACATTAAAGTTATAACCAAAATTACACAATGGCTGATCTAGACGATTTCTTCGCAAAAAAAGATCGTAAAAAGTCTAAGTCGGTCAAAAAGTTTGCTACTGCGGATGAAATGGCGAAAAAATTGGAGGACACAAAACAGAAAACGGACGTAAGACCGAAGAAAGACAGGCCGGCGACAGAAGGCGAAGAGGCTGGATCAATTAGGGTTAGTTTAAAGTTTTTAAATTACGTGGTGATTATCGACATTTGAAATGCGCGAAGTGTCAAAAGCAGGTGTTCCTCGTTGGAAACCATGTCTTTCCTGGTGTAACTTGTATCGCCCGAATATCACCATGATGATTGAGAATGTATTTCGCTTGATTTTGACCTTATTCCCACGGAAGCACATCAGTGACACTCCTTCGCCCCAAATTACAGGTTAAGAAACCCATCTATCGGAAATGATTTTGTTTCAACATTGTATTTTGGAAAACATAGAGTTTTTCAATTATATAAATAATACATATGTATAAAAAAACTACTGTTTAAGTTTGTGCAAAATATGACCTACTTATGCCTTTTGTCACTTAATGTCATAAGATACACAATACTGTTCATCATTGTATACAGATACTGTTAATTTAGATAAAGATTGATATAATGCATATTATGTTCTATTTTTGTGCCCATCAACAAGACCCAAGATGGTTCAAATCTATAACAAACCTATTTAAACTAAACTTGTTATCAACTGATATCACTTTTGCATTGTTTGTTTCTACTATTAGATAAATTGTGAATGCAATTTGTATGAATTTGTTTCATTATTATTTAGTGATACCTGTATCTTATGTTCCATAATAAACATATATTGAATGATTTATGAATCAATGTCTTTCTTTGAAACCTTTTTGATATAATAATGCAATCTCTAGGAAGAAGAGGAGTGGAAAGAATATGAAGAACCTGTGAAGGATTATACAGGCCTCAAGCTACAGGTGCTACAGAGAGGTACTAGAGCTCCAGAAAGTGGGCGGGATACAGCAGCTGAAGACTCTACCCCTGAAAACTCTAAAAACAAGGGCCCATGGAACAAGCCGGTGAGTACATATCACATTGTTAGCAATAATAATTTATTTGGACTTTGTAATTAGATATTAGCAGAGCTAATGTTTTTTGTTATATATTATTATCATAATTTATTTTAGGTTAGTTCTTGTTCATTCAACTTTCCACATCTAATAGTTGGAATATTAATTTTTCATGTAAAATTTAATGTATAGTTTTCAAAAAGCTACAGGCCACATTAAGAACACTCAAACTGGGATTACTTTTTAAAAACAATAATTTATGTGTTATGCTCTATTATGAAAAACATTTTTGTTCTTAAACTAATATATTGCAGGTGGAATGGTTGTACATCCTTGTCACATTCATTTTAATATTCTAGTAAACACTAATTATCGTTTATTTTGTTATCTGGGTACTACAGAGCTCAGGTTTCTTGACAGAAAAGTCAAATTTAAATAAACAAAACAACATAAAATATTTAAGTTAAGAAAACTATATTTAAGTTCTTTGTTTTTTTATATAGAAATAAAAATATAAATTAAATATGTCAGAATAGGTTAGTTTTTTTTGCATAAAAATTTTAACATACTTTACTGTAATACATACTTTCTACTAATTAGTCATTAATTTTACGTCATATTGTTCATACATGATTGTTTATGATATATATGTACGTATAATTGAATCTTAATGGGCCATTTGACCTTGAATATATACACAATTTTCTGCAATGAAAGTCTCATCTGAATATAAAATATGTGAACAAGTTTTCATCTGTCTGCATGTCTGGATATAAAATATGTAAAGTTGTTTACATATTTTATGTCCTATTAAATATATATATATATATATATATATATTGTTTACTATTTATATCCCTTTAGTGATGCAGTCTGTTTCCTTGAGCATTTTTCTTAGCAAGTAGTGGATTGTACTTGTGTGAGATCAGCCTGATGCATGTCATTCACTGTACATGCAAGTGATAATTAAAGAGAAAATTCTAGAGAAATATAAGAAAGTGGGAATATGTTTATTTTTGTGGGTTTTAGGTGGAAGCTGAACAAGTAGTGGTTAAACCTCCACCACCACCCGTGGAAGAGAAAATCCGTGCGACGTCAACTTATGTCCCGCCACAGTCGAGACAACGCCCCTGTGATGGATCAGTACGGCGTCCCCAGAATGTAAGTGTGGCAACAAAATATTTAAATTTGGGTTAGTTTTGTTAGTGTTCTGTTGTAGTGTATTTGAATTTGTGTGTCTTCATATTTTTCCATTTATCTTTGTTTCGAGCAACAGTCATCCAGATTTTCTTCACTAGTTCTATTACGTCATTCGCCCATATCTTCCTGTGAATCTCTTTCCAGTAGGTCTAGACCATTTTGTTTTTTAAGTTTCCATCTTTTATTCTGCACTCTGGATATATGTCCTGCCCATTTTCATGTACAAATGCATCTCCAAGTTTTGTGTTGTCAAGACACGCAAGACAATTATCAAGATTTTTTGTTTTGTTTATTCTTCTCAATTTGCATGCAGGGCAGACAGTTTTTCTCTTGTTGTTTACTTGCAAAAACCCACATTTGATTTGCATATGTCCACCAAGGTAGAATATTTGAATAATTTATCTTATGAACTGTAGCTTTCAGAATTACTTTGTGGAACTAGTTAGTATCTATTTACATTATTTTCGCTGCTATTCTTGTCAAAAGATACTTGTTTTCCAAATATACATAGTTATTAGTTATTAACATATTCTTTAGGTTTATTGTTTACTCCGATTTGCTTGTACAATCTTTTGGGTAACATTCGTGTTTTTGTAGTGTTCAATGTGTAAGCTCAACTTTTTGACTTTCATTGTCTAGTGTTCACCAAAGACTATGAATAAATAAAGTCCTCTGGATACAAATCATAGATATACAATTACATAATTTGAGGTTGACATCTGAACTTCCATCTACATTCTACATAATTTTGATTATGGTCATACTTAAATTTATGCAGAATAAATAAAACATAAAACTGTATTTTAGGTTTTTTTGCATTTGGGTCTAATATAAACTATGTTATCTTTATATTCTATTTATATGAACAGTAAAAGCTACATGAAAATACTCATTAATATTTTCAATGGTACGGTAATCTGCAATGCTTGTGTAGAAGAACATATCAAGGACAGTATTGGTTGTTGGACCTGTGGGTTTTCTTCTTTAAATAAATACTATACAAAGTTGATTTACTAATGATTTGACTATGGGCAAACAGAAAGCGTCTCTGGACATCCACAACGAGGACTACTTCCCTGTGCTGGGTGCGGCTGCGGGGGCAAAACGCGGTGGGGGTTGGAGCACGGCGGGTGGTGCACCGCCCCGCGCACAGCACGCGCTCAACCCGCTGGCTCTCGGCAACCGATTCACGTCTTTGCCCGACGACAGTTAGCTAGGTAATTTATTGCAGCATAAAGATTTGGTTCGATAAGTATAAGTTTAATCATAGAAATAGGCCCTTTTCTTTCATTTATCAAACATTTAAAAATTATACAAAATATTCGGAGTAAAAAAGTAATGATAATATATATCTCTCTTCCATTTTGCTTTTTATGTCCTTTGGCTTTTATATTCCTACTATGTTATAGTTGCCTATACCATCTCAATAGTATTACTTGCGCACATAGTAACAGTTAAAATACACTTCTAAACTTTTTTATAAAAAATGAGTCAATTTTTTTCCTATTTAGGGTAATTTTATCTAGTCAAACAATTTATTGATTTATGCTGTGAAAATCAGTTACACAGAGTCAAACAGAGTAGCCTTGTTCTTAAATGCAAATGACATCACCATATATGAAATCAGAAAGAAATCTAAATTATTATTTACTTAGTTTAAATAAGGAGTTTTTAATGTTGTGTTGAAAAAATAGATTCAACAACTTAATATTAGTTTCATTATACCGTTATTTACTCTGTACATTGTAAATTGATGTTATCATATTAAAGGAATGATTAACATAGTTCAGTTAAAGACGCGTTTGCATAAAAAAAGAATGGCATTAGAATGGCATAACTATTTCTGACCCACGTGGCATACCCTGGAAGTGGTTCGATTTCCAGCCGAACAATAATTAATAGGTTGACGCGTTATTTATATTTTTTAAGTTCATAAAGAGATTTAGATATAAAGAGGGAGATTAAGAGTCGAGACGTAGCGTTAACTGTGACTTGAATAACTAGAATTTAGTTACCATAGAAATAAAAATTTCTTGAAATAAAATGTACAAGCTGGTAAATACGTACGATCTCAGAGTTAAAATATCTAACCAAGTTTTCTAAAAGTTGAATATTTTATGCATACATAAGATAAAACATAACAAATAGTAATAGTATATAGCGTTTGTTAAAAAGATTTCTAGTTTAGATATAGTTATGTAATTATTGATTTTCAATTCCAGGTAGCAGATCGTTCGTCGAACATAAATAATAAAGTGAAGTGTCATTATGGACTTTAAGCAAGCCAGGCATAGTTCCCATATAACTAAACAATATTGCAATTTACCGCGCACTTCCTCACATCTACTCTTAAATATATTATCTGTGACGGTTGCTATAATCAATCAATGCCTAGATGGTGTTCTTTTAAAGTGAAATATTCATATACTATCAATTAAAATGTGATTCCAGCTAAGTGTATAATTGAAAAATGTCAGCTGTCAATCAACACTCAGAGGCTGAATAATTAAAGCTTTGACAGAAACAAAGTCGATCAAATATCTTCGATCAATTAGAATTAAACAGAAGATTTAACGTTTTTAAGCTCAATCGTTCAATCGGTTTTATGTAAGCGCCGGTCAAATTATATTGAAAGATAAATTTTGCTAGGCGGTCCAAAGGCCAGTATCTTTGTTCCATTCATAGACAATAAAGTATTCCATGATCGGTGTTGCTAGCTAATAATAATAAAGGGCGACTGTCTAAAAAAATCGTAAAAGCCGAAAAACGGAAGTGTGCCTTTATGTTTGTTACTTTTTTATGTTTATATTAAAAGTAATTAATACAGTGGCTGTTTCTGAATGTATTAGGGAATCAAAAATTTTGCGGACGTTTAGTGTTACAAGCGTGGATCGACTTCGCTAAAATTAATAAATAGTAATGCGCTAAAATTAAATGAAAACCCGGTTTACGAAGTTGGTTACCTCTGTATGTTGACGATAAAAATGTTTATTAACTCTCGGCAAATCATTCAAACATGTACCATAGAAATAAATTATGTATTTAAAGTTTGTTTTTTTATTCCCCCTAAGCCTCCTTTTAACATAGTGATTAAATAATCTACTTACCTACAATGCCGGATTCAAAGGTCGCTAGCCCCAGTTTATTTTCCAAATAAAATGTTTTTTTTTTCAGTTTAGTTTTCAAAAAATACTTATATTTTATTTGATTAAAACAAAAACAATCACGTAAATAAAAAATGGGCCCAACTCATCTCTAAGTTGTTGTCACAACTTACAAGTAGACTGATACTCAGAGGCGTAACAATAGGATGGCAAGGCTGGCAAAATGCCACGGGCTCCCGACCCAAGAGATATTATGTTCTATGGATGACTGTGAAGTCTCCAATACGCATTGGGCTAGCGTGGGGACTACAGACTATTTCCTCTCGCCTAAGAGAGGAGGCCTATGGCCATTAGTGGGACATATGTACAACGTTTAATTGAGTACGCTGAAAATCTCGAAGTTCGGTTTATACTGATAGGGCCCCATCAAAAGAATTTGCCACGGGCCACAGATGGTATAGTTACGCCACTGCTTATACTATCTTGAAGTTAAAGCTGTATACACTGAACAAAACAAAAATTTAACGATCAATTAAGAAATACCTGCAATTATTTAAATGATTTAAAATATATATGTTTTTAATATATATATATATGTGTTTTTTTTTTATAGAAGCGGGCTGTTCGGGGTATTTGTTGTGTTTCTCCGAGGGAGTCGGTACGGAATAAGTTTAAGGAATTAAATATTATGACACTATCTGGTCAATATATTCTTGAAGCCTTGTTGTATGTCCAAAAAAATATAAACGATTTTAAAACAAATGGTGACTTTGAACTTGACTGAGAACTAATTTGAGTGCAAGACCAACCAGGCTCCAAAAGATAAACCACTCCTTATATGGAAATTGTATTCGTTTTTACAACAAACTCCCAAGCGAAATTAGAGTATTATCACTAAATAAATTCAAAGCCCTCGTTAAACGAAAATTAATCAACAAAGCTTTTTATAAATTTGAGGACTACTTAAATGATCCTAATCCTTGGGATTGAATTGCTCCAGTTCAAACAATTTGTATGACAATACTTGGCGATTAAAAAGAGTGGCGGAAAGTTTCTTGCCAGTTCTTCTTGTCCGCTCTACGCCCTTGACTTGCGAACTGGTAGTAAATGTAAATTTACGATTAATTTAACTTGACGATTCAAAAGTGTACTTGGTTACCCACTTGAATAAAGATATTTTGAGTTTATTAAAGTCGCTTAAGCCGAAAAGCTGTTACATAGTTAAGGTTAGGTTAGCCACTATACACTTTTTGGCCTAGTAGTTTCAGAATGCGACTAAAACCTCTGTGGTCAAAGGTTCAAATCCCGGCTGTATTTTTATTTTAAATCTATTTTTTTCACTCGAGGTTGGGTTTTATAAAAAAAATTACTAAAAAGACACGAAAATTACAAGTTCGATTTTCATCTTCCAAAACTATTCATTCATCGAATTTAATTTAGTGATTACTAGTTCGATACTATAAATATCTATGATGCCTTTTAACTAAGTAATATAAGCAAAGAGATTTTTCAAATTAAATTTATCTTCAATCTAATGATTGAACTGTTCCCTTTTATAGATTACAGATATCTTTCTTCATTTTAAATTTATTATATAATTAGGGTTGCCGCAAATAAAAAGCGTGTTAATAATATTGTTACATTTATTTAGTAATAACGTATAGGTGAGATCACGCAAGATAGCTGTACGTGTCCTTCTCTCCTTCCGTGCGTTCCAAGTATTCCTTCTCTATCAGGATGTCAATACATTTCTGAAATCAACAATGTTTATAAAATGTATAGAAAATTACTATCTAGCTAACCTAAAAACGCCTCTTGAGTTTTTAACTGTATTTTATCTTTTCACCGATAAACTGAATTCATTTAAAAAACAGCAAAACTACTGACAAGATGGCGAATGTTTAAGATCAGCTGTTTAATAATTTGTTAAAATACTTTGATTTGTAGGATTAATTTTTTGCAGAATTCGTCGGAATGGCCAAATTAAGACAATTGTGTGTCTCAGCATCCGTAAAAACCTAAAATAGCCGAGAATAGAGCAGCGAAGATTTCAAGTGAAGCATTGAACTTACTATTTAGTAATGTTCTTTTTAATACATAATGTAAAACATAGTGTAAACTGACATGTTTAGACAACATCTGGAAGAAAAGAAAAATTGGTATCAAAACCAAAATCACACCGATACGTGCTCTAGTATTCCATATCTTCCTGTATGCAGTATAAACGTGGACAATCTTGGCTCGAGAAAGGCAAAGGATTGATGCCTTTGAGATGTGGTGCTGGATGCGAATGCTAAGTAAAGGAAGACAACGAATTGTATGAAATTTCGACCATACAATGTTCAGAGGCGATGAGAACTTGGAGAAACTGATTGTGGTTGGTAACACAGAAGGCAAAAGATCACGTGACCATTCACCAACTACATGGACCGATCAAGTGAAAGACCCATCGTCCTCAAAACTGTACTCTGTCATAAGAGAGGCGCTGAACAGAAACCAGTGGAAACAGACAGATCCAGACCTGCTGACCACGACGGTCAGACGCGAGCTACCGACTAAAGAGTGAGAGAGTAAACTACCCGAGGGGGGTTCTAACACAAACTCACCTTAATAACAGGCACGCGCGGCTTGAATCTTGACGATAATTGGTTGAGCACTTCCACAACCAAATGCTGGTGTTTCAGCTTTTTGCGGGTCTTCATTATACGCACGATCGCCGCCTGAAATTATTAATAATAAAATAGAATTAATCATTAAATTTTATCAAAAAAAATAATGTGGTAGGAACAAAAAATACATCAACATCATATCAGATCTTACGATAAGTTTTAATTGGTCATTTCTTAAAATGATTAGTTCTATGGTTGGGCTTCGACATTGAGATTCATAAGAAAATAACATTTTACTCCTATCGACTTCTACACATAAATTACATTAAGAAAACATAAAATTCTTATATTATAAAAAAATTCTATAAATTTCACCCAATCGTCAATCTAACAATTTACATCAAATTCATAGGATTCTATATTATTAAAGACCAACATTGAGAATTCAAAGATATAGCAAAATTTATGAAATATTCAATTCTACGATAAAAACATCGGATATCCAAAACGCATTAAAAAGGGTTTCCAATGAAAAACAAAAAAGTACAATGAGCGTAACGGGACAATGAACGTAACAGGACGATGAGTCGTGAGTGCAGCCGGCGTTTATCGATTTATTAGACGTTGTCACGTCAAAAGCTAAATAATTGGAAATCATCTAATACATACCTGTATAAGCATCTTGCGGTCTTCCTCAATGTGTTTGTGCGTCGCTTCCTGTTCCACCTTCAGCTCTGTCTTCAGGGGGATGTTTATGTTCACGCGAAGTTTTTTACTAAACAAAAAATATATCTTTCAAATACCTGTTTTATATTTTAATTTTTTTCTTATTTAGTAATAATAAATATGTTTTGTTTGTTTTTTTCTGTCGGTACATACAATCCGTTACGAATAAAAAAATATTATTAATATACACGTTTAAAAGAAACGAAAATTTACAACAACTACGGGTAGGAGTTTTTTTTAATGTTAAGTGTTACTGGCGCCTTTAGACAGTGCTAGGCTCGCGATGTATAATAAAATATGCATATTAAAATGATAATTTTGCCTGTTCAAATATAAAACCTATTATTGTTCCATTTCTGCGACCTCTTTTTGAATGATTTGTTTCATGTGTTTGTAAAGGATATTTCTTTTAATAAAGAAGTATATATTACTTAGGGATGCATCGAAACGCTTTTTTGCCGATACGATACCGATGCCGATACACTTAAAGGAATATCGTCAATACCGATACCGATACCAACGCTTATTGAATTAAAATTAAATTAAGGTAAAATATATTAAGTTAAGTTAAAGTTTATAATTTTTATTAAATATATATACAAAAAATAGTCACAAACTTTGAATAATTTTAAAGGTGTTGTTACTAAAATTAAGAATTAAGAGTAATCATTAAATTAAAATAAAATAAATAACTGTTAATAATTAAAATTAGCAATGATAACATTGTTGTAATTCTGTATTTTATTAAATTTGGTATCGAAAAAATACTACTCGCGATAGCAATTAAAAGTCAACTAAATGATCTTCAAATCTACGTTCAATAAAGTCTCAATGATCCATAATATCAAATAACTATGCGCTGGCAAAGATAGTTGACTCGAGTAAAAACTACTAATCAATCCAACAAGAGTTTTTTCTACTAACTGACGTGAGACTGATCGTAAATTATCGTGATTCATGTGCACTTTTTATTTTTCATGTAGACTTTTTTTAGTTTATATTATGTAATATGTATTTTTGCCCTCCTTTTCATTTAATTATGTTCAATTTTTATATTGTAATGCAACAAAGTGTTAATAAATAAATAGTGTTTAGCGAAATGAAATACATATATGTATTCATTATACATAAATAATAATGCTTTGTCCCCAAGCGAATGATAGAGACAACAAACTGAATAAAACGCGGGTATTTCTCGGGCAACAATAGTCCGTGGCTCGTTTGCAACAAACTAGATTATACAAAATGCGCGTTTACATTATTTTTTAAAGCGTGAAATTTGAAAAGTATCGGTGAATCGGCAATGAAAATATCGCCGATGCCGATATATCGGCAAACCCAAAGTATCGCCGATATATCGGTATCGGCATCGGTATCGGATGCATCCCTAATATTACTCTATAGAAGACCGAATTGTCACTTTAAGTACGATTAACGTAATCGTACTTAAAGTGACAATTCGGTACGATTGACGTAAGACGTAGCGGAAACACAATTTGACAGAATGAGAAAAAAATCTTTGTTTCTGAAATGACGTCATTTGTCTTGTTTATGGTATGACCCGAGTTGTTTCCATATGTATGGCGAGAAACATTAATATTTATATTTTATTATTATAATTACTTGCTCCAGGTCAAGTGGAGCACGTTTTATGGAAGCAGGGGATTTCAAACAGTTTGAAAAAAAAAAAACTAAACAAAACTTGGAGATTTCTTATCGTCCGTTCAACGCCCTTGATTTGAAAGTAGTAAATATAATCTCGATTTTTTACTGACGGAATATTAACAATAATATTTAATATTAATTAATTAATATATAAAATTCTCGTGTCACAATGTTCGTTCCCATAGTCCTCCGAAACGGCTCGACCGTTTCTTATGAAATTTTTTATGCATATTCAGTAAGTTTGAGAATCGGCTGCTATCTATATTTCAAACCCCTAAGAGATAAGGGGTGTCCACCCCAAAAAAAATATTGTGTGGCATTAAAAAATAGATACAACCCTTAATTTTATCTACCCTCTACGATCAACCCCTATTTTTTATTTGTATATTAAACATTCCGGAAAACCAAACAGTCTCTGGGGAGCATAGCGAAATCTTCGAATGTTGGTAGGTACTTAAAAGCTAGGCTAAGTAAAATCACATTAAGGAGAAACGAAGTTCGCGGGGGCAGCTAGTTTAATTATATTAATTGTTTTATTCGACAATAAATGACAGATGTTAATAATTGTATACTCACTTTTTATAACCTAAATAAAGTTCCACGACCGATGACTCACTCAGCTCAGCTTCATCATCCTGACAGACCAGCAGTTTCGCCTTCAGCAGGATTTGTAACACCTGCAAGGCAAGTCATCAATTTAAAAACACTTATTTACGCCGGGAATCGAATCTAGATATTATTTTCTATAGTTCACGAAATTACTTAGGTTTAAATACTTTAAACAAACGTTTAAAAAGTCGATACCAATTAGGGAACTGAATAACTGTTTTTTTTTATAAACAAGGGGGGCAAACAGGCAGGAAGCTTAACTGATGTTAAGAGATACCGCCGCCCATGAACACTCACTACCAGAGGGTTCGCGAGTGCGTTGCCGGCCATTAAAGAATTGGTACGTTCTTTGAAGGACCCTAAGTCGAATTGGTTCGGAAATCAGTGGGCAGCTGGTTGGTTCCACATAGTGTTGCGCGGCAAAATCTATATTATTATCTCTCTTTAATCGGCGCTCGTACATGAGCTGCCGAGAGAGAGGAGGAGAGAGGACTATCTGTTTCCACCGGTTTCTGTCCAATACCTCTCTTATAACAGTGTACTGTTTTGAGGACGATGAGTCTTTCACTTGATCAGTCCATAGTTGGTGAACGGCCACGTGATCTTATGCCTTCTGTTTTATCAACCACGAGAAAGAATGGCGGAGAGTTCATTGCCAGTTCTTCTCTTCCGTTATACGCCCTTGATTTGAGAACTGGCAGTAAATATAAAATCAGAAGCTTTTAATGTATATTTCTTTTGACGTTCATAAGTGTATATTGTGTTACCTATATGAAATATGAATAAATTATTTTTTAATTTTCATAGACATAACATTTATCACAAACAAAAACACATAAAATAACAATAATTAAAGAGCAAAAATAAAAAAATCTCTTTTCCCATTCAGTTCGCTTCACGTGTGTAATGCGTGTGTGCTTTTGACGATAAGTTTCTCCCAGTTCTCATCGCCTCTGCATATATTATTAAATTTTGATAAAATGATTATTTACTTGTATCAAGAAGTCTCCCTTGATGCCAGTGTGGTGTTCGAGCTGTTTCACAGTCCACGCTGTGTTGTCGTTGTACTGAAGTAGCACCGCCATTTGGAAGGTACTCGCTTGTAACGTGTATCTATCAATTATAAACATTCTTAGAATCAGCCTTGTTGGGTAGTAGATAGTAAATTAGAGTTTTACACAGGCAATAAGGAAAATAATATTTTAACTGTAAACCCTATTAATAGATGGCGCTTCGCAAAATTTTTCTGAATAATAAAAAATATTATTACTAACTTAAATACCAGTTAATGTAAATATAAGTGAGCAGTGTTGGTCTAGTGGCTTCAGCGTGCGACATTCATAGCTGAGGTCGTAGGTTCGATCCCCGGCTGTGCACCAATGTACTTTCTTTCTATGTGCACATTTAACATTTGCTCGAACGGTGAAGGAAAACATCGCGAGGAAACCGACATGTCATAGACCCAAGTCGACGACGTGTGTCAGGCACTGGAGGCTGATCACCTACTTGCCCATTAGATTTAAAAATGATCATGAAACAGATTCAGAAATCTGAGGCCAAGACCTAAAGAGGTTGTAGCTGATTTATTTATTTTATAAGAATTGCAATGCCTGTGTGCATCCAATATTGTTTACCTTACATTTTTTATAATAAATATGACAAGGTAATAATAAATATGAAAGGTCCTTAAGAACTGAGATTACAAATGCTGCAATCTTAATAATCTAAATGGTTTATGAAATGAAAATAGTCGGAATACAAATTTTCTTTACTATCAACTGTTTTACTTTAAATAAGAATGTACAGCCTCCCTTATAACACGCTACTTATAACTCATTTTCATATATGTAACGCGATTTCAGTACTTCGTATAACACGACGTATTCCCATTACATAAAACACGGGTATTTCACACGTTATATTTCTGTACTGTGTAATTTATAATGATTTGTACGCACATATTTTGCTCACAACATTTTATCTTAGTATTCGATTTAAATCCTCTTTAACGAGAATAGATAAACCTGAATTAGTTGTACATAACGCGTTATATGGGGTCATACAAGCGCGTTTTGCGAGGATACTAATTTTAAAGCGAGTTTCCTTTAACGCGGACCAAATCAACCGTGTTATAGGGGAGATTACTGTATTTCGTTATAGACATCAAGTTATTATAATAAAATAATAATTAAGCCAAGATTACTATGTAGAAGGAAAAATACAAACTACGAAAAAAATACTATAAAATGATTAATTATAGTAAAAATAATATTAATAAGATTTGGCTTTATTTTATACATTGACTAAAGACAGTACCGTGTCAGACATTATATATATGTAAGAAAAACATAATATTTAATATTTTCCTATACAAACTCTTTTTATATTTTATTTTTCTTCTTTGCCGTCTGGTCGACGATGTTTTATTTGTCACTTGACATAATAGATGTAAGATGTTTTAATTTACTCTTTATATTATTTTATTTTATAAAACCTAGAATATAGGCTTTAAATGTTGTTTCTTTTGTATTCACAGATGAGTGAATAATTTGTAAATATATATTTTTTATTAAATGTAAATTAATAGATATTTCTTTTGTAAATAAAACTTTTGTATTCACAGAGAAACGCAGTTGCGCCTTATTTATTCCCAGTACTCGTATAAGCGATTGATACCATTATATATATATTTTTTTAAAGGAAATGGTAACCATGGTAACGCTACGCTAGTGCAACTTTATAAGGCAGGAGTCAGACGGGCAATATATATCATGATCCTTGAGATCTCGTCAATATTTATTTATGTGTAAACGCGGCAAAAATAAATATTGAGCATATTGACATAAAATCTAGATTTATTGTGATACATCAATATTTATTGACTGTCTGTGTGTGTTGATTTGGATGAGCACTCAGAATAAGACGTTGGATCACTGTTTTTACAAAATAAACCTATGTAAATTATTTTTGTGTTTATGCTTATTAAAAATTACATACCTGATTACGCAAATATACTGTTTTAATTACTATAATAGAGCATTAACTTAAAGTTAAAGGTAATACAGGTCTTTTATCGTCCATTATTACGAAACACGTCTAATCCGAAGAATGATCTTCCGACTACTGACGTGATTGAAGTCCAGTTGATTCAATATATATACTGGTATCGTGATATTGGACCGCGATATTTCTTTTCTTGACCGTGCGACCCCTTCCTAAGTTATTACCTGTTTTTGAAGCAATTGGTGACAAGCTCGCCCTTGCTCATGTTATAGAGCCAGTTGAGTTTGCGGCCAGAGTGTTGCGATGAGTAGAATGTCGTGAAACGGTGAACGGAACGCTCCAACTGACGACAATTATTTCATTTTATCCAGATTCGATTATTTTATAATAATCGTGTATTTACTAATAAACTAAATTAGTATGTTTTTACCGTGTAGATAAAAAAGACTTGATTTTGAACTAAAAATCTAATAGGCAAGTACAACGCCTTAAAGATGTTTTATAAACATCGTGTCACAAATACATTAGCAGACATGCCGCCAACGAATTCAGACTTAGGATAGAGGCACAGTTCTTATAAACGAATTCAGATGTAGGCCTAACTGAAAAATAAGCTACATGAAACAGATGTAGAGAGACGGATGTTTCCCCGGTGTATCATAACTACGAGAGAAAGAGTTGGAGAACGACGCCAGCGCCGCCAACTACAAACTAAAGTGGGCGCTAACCCCACTTGGAATCGGCACATGAAATCCGTATTGACTGCGCTTCTATACTACGTGTGAATTAGTTGATGCCACCCATCAATTTTTACTTTTAAGTGAGAAAGAGAAATACTCCTTAACTATGTACACAAGAACGCTAGTAATAAATACTGTTATCTGTGGTTTATGCTTTTGTCTATTATGTAGTCTGTGTTAACTATTATTATATTTGGTAATACTTACTAGTAAATAATAAGATTCATATTGAAGTGTATTCGTCGTATTTTTTAAAATATAATATGTAATAATATATTTTTAATAAAATATCACAAACTCACCTCGGTTGGCAGCTGGAAGGAGGTGGACTGTTGGAAAGGCCAGGATCCAGAAGACAACACCTGGATACTGAAATCGATATGCAGAGGAATCTCGCTGCTGTTCGCTATGTGCTTGCGGAAGTTCTCGTTTAGGTCTTTAGACACGCCAATGTCCTACAACACATTATTAATGGTATAAAAAAATAATTAAACCGACTGCAAATACTCAAGATATTTATGTACCTATATAATACAAGTCGCCATCCAGAAATGCGTAACATATCTCAAAAACTACTGAACAGATGTATAAGCACTTACAAAATTTAGCACACCCCACTGGAATAACTAAGATACTCAAATAACAAATTCTATTACATATACATATCAAACTGATAACCTCCTTTTAAAGTCGGTTAAAATAACATACTATATAATGTATCGTAGATAATTAAACCAAATACAAAATATCTTCAGAATTAATTTTTTTTATACATAATCAAAAAAAACAAAACTATTTTACATTAAAAGTAATCGTAACCATGGAAACAAACACAACGCCAATCACTGCATTCTTTTTATTACCTTGACTATATGTATATATATATCTACTTGAATAAAATATATCTCACCTGGAACATCCTTTGTAATTTGCTCGTGTATTCGAAACCACACGCTTGCTTCAACTTCGAGATCATCGAGGCCTGAAAACAATTTTTAACGATAAATAAAAGTTGTCACACTTTCAACGAATTCGTCAAATTCAATTCAGCCGTTTACCTCGGCGTCATCGCTAGCAGACATGTGTTGTACAAGTCGTTTCGCCAACATTTTGCTGTAGAATTTCTGGAATACGTCCTTGTCTTCGATGTATTTGAATACAACCATCTGTAAAAATATATTATTTTATTATTTCAATAATATATTTGCATTACACGAGTATTAATAAAAAATAATTAATTATTTAACAGATACAAACGCGAATTTATTACATTTGTCGATGTTTCATGTCTCTAAGTTCAGATAACTTGATATTATTATTAGAGCTTGATTTATAATTTGATACATTTTAGTCTATAGTTATTTTGGGCTGGCGATCTGAGTGTGTTGTTGCCCCACATATTTTTATGGTGCCACTGGCGGTATTGTTGTGTACCGGGTTGTGCAGCTCCCTCAAAAATGGTTGAGCTGCATGAGCTATTCGGGGCATGCTTGCCGTCTGCTGGCACAGGCTTGCTCAGATCTGATCTGGTTCTTTCTTCCAAAGACCAGTCCAGTAAATACTCTGCATTTGTTTACACCAATTTATTAATTTATTATTGTATTATCTGGACAATAAAAGAGACTAAGACCCCCGAGTTTGTTTCGACATTTCTTCTCAGGGCAGTCAGTTAGGAAATGTCGACTTCATCTAGTTTAGGAAGACATTGTAAAAGTGATTTATATAGTCCTACTTGCAAGAATAAACTATTTCATTTCATTTCAGAGATCGCGACAATAGATGGCGCTTAGTAGACATTGCAAGACAGTAATTTTTTTAATAAAAATAAAATAATATATATTATAAAATATTTTTAATTATTAATACATATATGTATTTAGCATATTTTAATTAAAAATTAAGATAGAATTTAAAATTAGTGTGCCGTAAGACAAAAGGCGTGGCGGGTATGCGGACGTCCGTCATTTTTTTACATCATATTATTATATTACACAAGAATTATATATTTTTATGTTATTACTGTATTGATTACTTGTGGTATCAACATTACAAACAACTTATTTTGCACTACACTAGTTTTAAAATAGTACAAAAGAACAGAGTGTCTTCCCCTTAATAGTGTAAGTTGTGTTATTGGACACTTTCTAATGTTAAATATCCTTTTTAGTGAATTATCTAGAATCTAGATAGATAATATTAGTACTAGATCGTAATGTAAAATTGTGTCTGTGCAGAAAAACTTATTGTAAGGAAACTAGGTTGTTACACAAGATTTCAAATTAATGATATAAAAAGGAAAAAAAAAAATATTTTGTTTAATTGCAACAAATATACTCAAATATTGGACCGATATTAATTTGAATAACATAGGTTACATTGATTTCCAAATAATATCCAGACCTTGACCGACATTTAATTTAATAAAAACCATATAGGAATTTGCATTGCAAATTTAAACTTTTTTCCGTTATTTAATTTTATTTAAAGAAATATCAGACTCACCACTTGATTGAGAGTATCTTCAAGTTCGGCTTCTTCGGGGTTCTTGCTGGATTTCTTCAGCAGCAGGTCACAGTATTTGGCTAACAGTTCCGGGCTCTTGGATGATGAGTTGGCGGCTTTCGTCACTGAATTACCTAAAATAACATTTTTTTTTAAATAACGCGAGTGGAACTGCTGAGCCCGTTGGCCAGTGGCTTCATCGTGCGACTCTCATCCCTGAGGTCGTAGGTTCGATCCCAGGCTGTGCACCAATGGACTGTCTTTCTATGTGCGTATTTCTGTACGAGCGGTGAAGGAAAACATCGTGAGGAAACCGGCTTGCCTTAGACCCAAAAAGTCGACAGGGTGTGTCAGGCACAGAAGGCTGATCACCTACTTGCCTATTAAGTTATATCGCCACTGATTTATTTCTTAATTGCAGAGCACAATTTACAGAATGTATAGACATAAAATAAATAATGAAAACTATGTTACACATTATTTATTTACTTTTATAGTATATAATTTATTTTATAAAGCTGTCTACAGCTAAGATAGGCCTAATTCTAAATATTACCCTATCGTAAAATTGTATTTTTATGATAAAGCATACTTACTGTTAATAAACCGTCCACAAGCCTTGTCGAGTGCAGCTACGAAGCCAGAGTCATTGTTGAATGCAACCAGTACTAAAGCATTGTACTTTTTGTGGACTTCCAGTATTGTCGATACATATATCTTTGGATCCTGCAATTGAACATCAGATCTTTAAATGGTAGTAGTATTTTGTTAGTAAATCTCCAGCAAAGGTCCCCTCGGTTCCGGACTTCAAAGGAAACATTAAAGTAGCTCGCTTTTGCTCGGAGCTGCAAGTTAAGGGTGCCCAAAGAGGCCAATTTTGACTCGAATTGCATCACACCAGGATATTCATGGACAGACTTAGCAAATGCTAACATCATTTTATGATCTAGTTCATGCAACCTATTTAGTTTTTCCTTCTTAGTGAGGCTTCCCAGTAAGGAGGAATTTTATTTTCAAAGTCAAAAATCATTTATTCATATAGGTGTATGTACACTTATGAACGTCAAATAAGAAATATACATTAAATGCTTCTAATTTTACAGTTCTCAAATCAAGGGCGTAGAACGGAAGAGAAGAACTGGCAATAAACTCTCCGCCACTCTTTTTAATCGCCAAGCTTTTTATTTTACACAACGTTTGTAAGGAACTGCAACCATTACACCATGTTCCACATGACATCTTAAGTAATAAATAACAATCAAATTAATTAAAAACAAAGATTTGTCCTCTATCAGTATAATAGATATATTCATAAAATATCGGTCTAATTGCAACGCTAAAGTAAGTTTCAATTAAAAGAGTGCAATTAGACTGTAAGGTTGTTTAATTGATACTTCCTTGTAAATTGTAATCGTGACAATATTGGTAAATGCAGAACTAGAGAACGGCTGGATTTTTTTTGTAGAGAAAAATTTAGTTTTATTTAATACTTAGGTTTTTATCCCGGAAAAGCGAACATTCTCCATGTGGTAGCATAGGAAAACGTTGGTATGTAGCTACTAAAACGATAAATTTAGTAAAAAATATTAAGGCGAAACGAAGTTCGCGGGGGCAGCTATGTTTAATAATGTCGGAAAAAGTAAGGAGTGAATTTAATTCTCATTCCATAGAAACTATTTTGATTATTTGAATTGGAAAACAATATTTTTTTAAACCATCCAATAACATCGAGATATTGGATCCTAAGTAGTTTGTATATAATTAATTTATAACAATGACTCTGGTAATTAATTTGCAATGAGGAAATTTTATTATATTCCAATAATTAAGTTGTTTGCGGAAGAAAAGTTAATTGCGGAGTCTAAATATTATTAAGTGATACAGCCTATAGCTACTTTCAATGCCAGTGGGCGCGCGAGTGCGTTGCTGGCCTTTTAAAAATTTGTATTGCTACTACAAAGATAGAAAAAAAAACCTTTAGATTCTAAAATCTATATACACGTCCTTTTTTCTTACGAAGCTTCTTCTCCATCTATACTATACTTTATCCATGTATCTCTATATATACAAATTATCGTAGTACTATATGCAAGTCCCGTGAAAGGAGAGATATTAATAATCTATTATATAGTACTAGCTGACCCGGCAAACGTTTGTTTTGCCATGTATATTATTTCTAGGAATCATTTTTTTAGTTCAATAAAAATAACTATATTAAAAAATAGGGCTTGATCGTAGAGGGGTGAAAATTAGGGGATTATATGTATTTTTGTATGTTGTATCATAAAAAATAAGAACAATTTTTTTTCTAAAGAATAAATTTTTTTTTGGGGTGGACAACCCTTATCACTTAGGGGGTTGAAAGATAGATAGTAGCCGATTCTCAGACCTACTGAATATGCATATAAAATTTGATAAAAATCGGTCAAGCCGTTTCGGAGAAGTATGGTAACTAACATTGTGACACGAGAATATTTATATATAAGATATATCTATGACTCACCGTATGCGCTGTCTCCCCGCACTTGTCGATGGCTTGCAGCCCCTGGGCGTGTATGTGCTGTTCTAGAAGGCGTCGCAGCTCGACCAGGCCGTCGGGAATACGCGCCACCAGATTGTACATACGGCCCAGGTGGGAGTTCTTGTCGGCGTCCAGCAGTTTCTTTTAACAACGTTAAAATATATATTTACTTACATACCTTTAGATACAAACGCAATACCAATTAAACTCAAACTCAAACTCAAAATATCTTTATTCAAGTAGGTAACCAAGTACACTTTTGAATCGTCAAGTTAAATTAATCGTAAATTTACATTTACTACCAGTTCGCAAGTCAAGGGCGTAGAGCGGGTAAGAAGAACTGGCAAGAAACTTTCCGCCACTCTTTTTAATCGCCAAGTATTGTCATACAAATTGTTTGAACTGGAGCAATTCAATCCCAAGGATTAGGATCATTTAAGTAGTCCTCAAATTTATAAAAAGCTTTGTTGATTAATTTTCGTTTAACGAGGGCTTTGAATTTATTTAGTGATAATTCTCTAATTTCGCTTGGGAGCTTGTTGTAAAAACGAATACAATTTCCATATAAGGAGTGGTTTATCTTTTGGAGCCTGGTTGGTCGTACACTCAAATTAGTTCTATTTCGCGTATTATACTGGTGAAAGTCACCATTTGTTTTAAAATCGTTTATATTTTTTTGGACATACAACAAGGCTTCAAGAATATATTGACCAGATAGTGTCATAATATTTAATTCCTTAAACTTATTCCGTTAAATTAGTAAAGGAAAAGACCAAATTTCTAAAGTTCTCTATTAGATAATAAAAACAATGTTACCTATTTAAAAAAAAAGTGCGTGCGTACCAAGTACACATGTCAGAAGTGAAACTTCTTTGGCAAACTAATTTTTAAGTCTAGTTCATATTTATACAAATCTAAAACTTTAGATTTCCGAGACTTAATTTAATGAATTTAATTGTCATTAAAATATAAAAGTGTTGAAAATTAATACAAATTATAATAATTTTTTAAATTTATTTCTACGATTATAATAACACGTGGCCTTTTAATTTACAATTCGTCATTTGAGATTTCAATAAATTATTTTGCATAAAATATAAAATACTAATATTTCATAAATTCTCTTTACGAAATTTTAATTTTAAAATAGAATCTCTCTCACTGTCTCTCAATCGGTCTCAATCTCTCTCTCCTTTTCTTCGACAAAAACGCTGCATATCTTTGTGACGCTAATTATTATTATTATTTCATCCGTAAAAAATTACCCTCATGCGCCTAAAGAAGTTTCACTTCAAAATAATATTAGTGACTCACCTGGAACTCAGAGTGGAATATCTCTAAATGTTTCTCGATAAGCACACGATCGCAGGTCTTGGCCAATCTGTCCATCGTGGTCTCGTGGAGATACACTTGCACGCGACGCTGTTCCTCTTGGAGTCTTTGTTCAGCCTGAAAACAAAGACAACCTCGATTTGCATTTTTGATTACGAAATACGTTCAAAATCAAAAGGCTATCATAATAAAAAGTTTCGTAATTATTTTGACAGTTATGTTACGATTTCTGATTATATAAACCCACAAACTTAATTTAGTTTTAATACTCGAAATTCATTGTTATCATATCATCATCATTATTATATTACAGTAATCAATATCAGAATATTGATTTTAAAAATCTAAAAAAGCTTTTATATATAATTGGTTATGGCTATAGAATCGACTCCCGTTAGGGATCTTCCCTCAGAGAAACGACCTCCAAATGTTCGAAAATCGAGTATGCTCCTCCCTCAAAGGCCGGCAACGCACCCGCTAAAAATGGGTGTCTATGGGCTGCGATGACTGCCCTTTTTGGACGTCCCGCAAGCTCGTTTGGCCCCCTATTATATATATAAAATATTCTTCATACCTTGATCATATACTCCGTGACGGGGTTATTCCTTAAGAAATCCGTACTTTCGCGCGTGTAGAACCTCTCCGTATCCTCGAGGAAGATGACTTCGAAGGTCTCCTTGTAGACCACCAGGTTCTGGCCTCGAGCCGCCGGCTCTTCTTCATTTAGACCGAGTGCCACGTAACAGTTTATTACCTGCATTATTTAAATTACATGAATATTAAATACAAATATTATTCCTGTTTGGTCTCCTAGCTTAGTTCTGGAGATCTAGTGTTAGATTTTCGGTAAAACAATAAATATTTTTGGACACGTGACGCTCTTACTACAAAGTACCAACAAAATGGATGAACGCCCCATGCTCTATCTACATCAATATACAAGATGGGATTTACTTTTTGTTTGAAATGCATATCTATATTCTGAAACTACTCTTTTTCTTTTTAATAATTAAAAATTTAGTTTAAATTAATTAGATTGTCTTCTCTGCTTCCCTCAATGAGTGAGTTTAATCGTTGAGAGTAATATCTAGAAAATGAGTTATTGACGTGACGACGTCTTATAATACGATGGAGCCGGCTGCACGCACGAAAAAACATGACTCATGCGGCGTTACCTCGCACTGAGGCGTTCCATTTAAGGCTTGAAGTGCAAGCGAGAGCGCGGAACGAGCGACAAAGAGGCACAATAGGCCTCCGCGTTCGGTAGCGTTTGTTCGTTAAAAAATTGACATAATTGTATTTATGCGTACAAATAAATGTAACTTGATCAATTCAATTGTGATTTCCATTTACCTCCTACTCTATATCCATACAAAATATCTATTGAACAAATAAAATTAAAATTTTCTTTTGAAAAATACAACCATTCCATCAGTTGTCAGACGTTGTCACGTTCAACTATCGTCAGTAAACCGACTTTACAGACAACCGATTTTTTCTATAGAAAACAGCATACTTACGCCAGAAACAAGTCTAGTGTTGATCGTCTCTCCATTCCGCTCACGTTCTATCAATTTCAGAACAGCGTTCGTCACCTGCTTGTTGAGGCACTTGAAAAGGTTGTCGCGCCACGTCACTAAAGCCAGTTGGTATATTTCGTATATACCCTGAAAATTATTAATATTGAGTACTATAAGTATTTTTACCACACCTTATTGAAACCGCCATTGCATTCATTGTGTTTATTTAAATTTCTTCAAGTATATTCCAACTTAAAGTTTCATCAAAAATCAGTAGTATTTTTGATAATATATAGGTGAATGCCTAACCTTTACAAATTTCTTTAATTATGTATAATATACCTATATCCTACCATATTCTATTAACCAACTTATGGTCTAAGATCCCGATATACAACGACCTTCACCGAGATGCTTATTTAATGAAACGTATTTTATATTTAATTTAATATGTCAATAAATATAATCCATATGGGTTGCCTAGCAAATTTCAGTCCAGAGTATTTTAATTAATATTTTAAAAAAAATTTTTTTAAACATTTCACCGGTATGATTATTAGATAAATTCGAAAGTATGAAGCCCATAGAATATGCAAACGTTAGGTTGTTTTTAATCAATTATTTTTTTATGTGACACTAAAGTATATATACATCTTTAGTAAAAAAGAAAGTTATAGTGATACATATATAATACTACCCTGATTAAAAATATTGATTGAAAAAAAAAAAAATTACTACAAATATTAATTAAACATACTATGGACTGAAATTTGCTAGGCAACCCATATGGATGATATTTATTGACATATTAAATGAAATATAAAATACGTTTCATTAAATAAGCATCTCGGTGAAGGTCGTTGTATATCGGGATCTTATACTATTATTGTTTTTGCTTTTCAGTTGATAGCTACTTGAAGATTTGTTTTAATGGAAATTCAAAGCAAGCATGTATGCTATATATGTATTATCTTTTGGAATGTCAGTTGGCTGGGTTGGGAACTTAGTTCCATTGTCTTATATTTCATGTTGTATGTTTGTTCGTGTTTGCAATGTTTTTTTTAATAATTTTATTTTTCGTTTTGATTGTTAAATTTATGTTTTATTCAGTGCGTCAAGCTGTCTACAATATATGGGGCCACTGAAAATCAGTGTTTCTGTGACAAGAACTTAAAGCTGGGTTGCAGTAGTTAGGTTTGAGATTTTTTTTTCCTTGTATATGAAGAAACAAATCTACCCCTTGTCTACCCCACAATCCATTTACAATACAAACCTTCCTCCCCTCCTCACACTCCCGTTTGACCCAATGCCTGTTGAGGTAAGCGCAAACGCCGTTCAACACTCGCGATGAGAACTGATACTCCTCCCACTGTTTTGTATAGAACGCCAACACATCTTCGCCCATCAGATCGGAGCCATTCTGAATTTAAATACTTAGAATTTAATATTTCCCTGCTACTTCATAATACTATATTTATATTTTCATTACTGAAAACTTCGAAGTAATTAGTAAAAGAATATTTTGTGGTATTTACTTCATCAAATAGAGAGCACGGGAGACGTTTTAGTTAGTACTCGTCTGTCCCTTTTCATCACAGCTCAAACACAATGTGATAGTAAGAGACAAATGTATTCTATATCAAAACTGTAAAGCATAATACTTAATAAATGACGATTATACCTTCAATAAATTGACGAGATACATCCTCAGAAACTCCCGTAGCCTCTTGTACAGCTCCAAACCGACTAGTTGCGCACCTCCCGCCACTTGGTTCTGGAATTTCGTATACGTTGTGGTGGCGATATTATTATGGGTCATAATATACGTAGGGCAGCTTAGCGTTAAGTTAATGTTAAGAGAAAGAAGTCAACGAACGATCAACGTGATTTAAACGAACACAAGAGAACTATACTCTGATTTTTTATTCCGTAGAATTCTGACATTTCATAAGTGTTGCTACTAAAAAAGTTTCCCACCGAAAAAGGGACAAATTTTATTTGAGGGCTATAAAAAAATGCTACGTATTTTTTATGTTTTACCCACAAAAAGGCAAATCTACATATTTGCTTACTCAAGTAACCTAATACAAAAATAATAAATATTTCAATATCACGAACAATATATCAATTTAACTCTAATTACTTTATTTTATTCTTTAGCTGGCATCACTGCCAACTAATTCCAGGTAGTGAAAAGATTGGATTTTCTTGGAGAAAGGAACTTTTTCAGCATTTGGATTATAAACATCTGGAATATACCTGTTTTTTGGGCACAGTTCCACTTGGCCGACTTGTATAGCTTGTCTTCCCACTGGAACCACTCTGCTGATGAACTGATGTACAATAGTTATATACATGACTGATTTACTATAAGAAATATTATCACAAGAAAAGTCTCGATAATCGCTGATTTTGCTACTTGATTGCGGCTTTAGTTTAATGTCGAATGAATAAAAAGACCTGAGGGCTCATTGACTCTATATATTATAGTATAGGCCTTTACGCCTCATGATCGACGGACTGAACGAAGTAATAAACTTTGCGAGTGTCGGTAAAGTATACTTTTTTATCCAGCTGCCCACTGAAGTATATCCGAACCAATTCGACTTAGGCTCTTTCAAAGAGCGTACCAATTCTTAAGGGCCTATCCCAGCACGAATTGCTGTGTCAGTGTCTCGGGGTGGACTGCGATGCGCAATGAAGAGCTGGAGCACTGAGGTGCGCCGGCCCGTAATAACAATTAGTTATGTAAAACAATAAATTAATGTAATTTTATCATTTTTTTTTAAATGGATTACTTGGCTTGCGATAAAATATATCGTGTAAATTTCAAAATCATGTTCTATATACATTTTCGTCATAAAATGAATTCAAAGTGTCAAAAATTGGCTATGTTTGGATATTTTCTATCGAGCGAAGTTATTTAAATCTTTCAAAATATCAGATAAAGAAACTACTCAACTCCACCATATATTTTTTCCATTCGCCCTACTTCAAGAAACGATGACGAAAAATGGAAAGAATTTTTCGAGTTTGGCGACCAGATAGATCCTTAAACGGCAAAGCTCGCGCGAGCCATCTGGCAATAAGTGTCCATGGGCGGTGGTATAACATCAGGTGAGCCTCCTGCTTATTTGCCGTTGCTCTATAAAAAACCTAAGAACCTTTTTCAAGTTTGAATTTCGAATATTGGGTGATTTGAATTGAAGGTTAATGAAATGCGGAGGGGCCACATGCAAAACTGAACCCAATGAGTAATAGGAATACAATTTTGAGTGTGTTTCAATCTCCACAGGCAAAGTGTTTTATATTCTACCGTTTTAAAAAGGATACGTATATAAGTCCATGTATCTCAATTTTGACATCTGTTGTCGTTTGTATACTTGTTCGATTCCTTCCCTTAAGTCGCCCCATATCTGAAAATGAAACATAATAATTAGTTTGTGAACCAAAATTCGCGTTTTTGCACACATTTTAAATATGAAAATTTCCTAATGTACATGCAGCGTATTATGCTTAATACGAAACTATAGATATTTAAGATATTTGTAAGAAAACGCAATTTTCCATTTCCTAAATACGTCCTTAATAAAACAGTTTTCGGTTACGAAATAAAACTATCACCACGTTATTTTAAATTTGTCACATTAAAATTATGGATATTGAACTGCGAAACTAAATTTTTTCAAGAACCTTGCAAACATTTTCTTTCATACATACAAAATGAAAGGTTGTTAAAAAATCGAAAATGAGACAATTTTTTTTTATACCCACATAAGTACGTAAAAAAGAATCTTATTACAATAAATAATTCAATAAAAATAACAAATATTAATCATAAATTAAAATATCCGTAAACGCTGTCGTAATTGACCATTAATTATGTTATATTTTTAGACTACCCTCATATGATTTGTTTTTTTAAATTTAATTTGAACCATAAAACTGTCGATTATCGCGTGCATTTCCGTCTGCATTGTTACGGTTGAGCGTTAATATGCTTGTATGAAACCGTTATAATCCATATAATCCATCCGGCATATCACTCATATTGATATTTAAGATCAAAGTGGTGTATTACTTAACTACTATAGCTGATATCATTCTACGTTGCTTATTCAAGCAATTTTGCTTTTTGTACTTGTGTAGTTGATATTATAAAGTGTATGGCTGTTAATGTCGTATTAATGTGAAATAATCGTTAGAAGGCTTTACAATGCAACTCTTTTGCTCATTGGCTCTCTACAGAACTTAAGAGTGTTCCGAGTCTGACATACAACGCCTTTTGTATTATACGTATTGTCGTATCCCGTGCCTCTGAAAGTAGCAGGGAACCGACCCATACCAGAATCTCAGCTATTTAGAGAGATGGAGTAGCAATGCCTGAGTAGTTCCTTAACCTATCTAAGGCCGCCTTAGATAAGTTCTGGGGGTTCGATCTCGCATTCTACCAGGGCCTAAACGGCATAACTTTTACACTCAATACTTCCGGTGCGCAAATACAACCCTAGTACGGATGCTATTTCTTCTTCGGATAAATAAAATAAAAAAATAAATAAGTGGCGCTACAACCTCTTTAGGTCTTGGCCTCAGATTTCTGAATCTGTTTCATGATCATTTTTTAAATCTAATAGGCAAGTAGGTGATCAGCCTCCAGTGCCACACACGCCTATTTGGGTATAAGACATGTCGGTTTCCTCACGATGTTATCCTTCACCGTTCGAGCAAACGTTAAATGCGCACATAGAAAGAAAGTCCATTGGTGCACTTTCGCCGGGGCTCGAACCTACGAACTCAGGTATAAGAGTCGCACGCTGAAGCCACTAGGCCAACACTGTTCTTCGGATATATAACATATAAAAAAAATTCATTTTTTAATCTGTAGCAACTCAAAATGTATCTGTAGCATTGTGTAAAATTTATTCATAATTCATTTCTTAATACGATAAAATCGAATATTGTTGTCACGTATATTTCATGGAATAGGTACGAAAAGAATTCGAGTAAATAATTTAGCCAACTACTTCATGAATATATCGTGTAGTCTAATTTCTAGTTATTGTTATATAAAGTAGCTTGTAGTTTAGGAGGCAAACGAGCAGGAGGCTCGCAAGTGCGTTGCCGGCCTTTTTGACAATCCCAGAATACGAAGGGAAGCCTGCGCGTCCATCACCGTTGTTATTTACGTGTCAAATACTTTTTGAATTTAGAATCGATTCATAATTGCACTTACTTGAGGTAACGTTTTTAGTTCGAATAAACATGCTTATTTATTATATAATTAAAAGGTTGAAAGATTATAATACTTTACTGTTATTATATGTAACATATTGTGTTGTGTCTATTATATAGTGAGTGAGAAGGGCGGCAAATCAAATGCGTGTTCACTGAGTGGTTCTTTATTTCTAACTGACTTACTAACGCCCGAAACCAATAACCTATCTCAATCCATAATCCACCATCTAAGATAGTAATCTTAATCTAAATGTTGTAACAAGTGTGCCAATAACCAATTGACGGATTGTAATAGCCATTTGTCGATACAAGCTATCCATGGTAGGTCGTATCGAGGTCTGTGGATAGACTTTTGTATGAAAATTACAGTTGACAAAAGCTCGATTTCAACAGTTAATTATTTCCATAAAATAATAAACAAATAATTTGCAATAAAATTACATTGCGGGTATAATTTGAGATGAAAGCTATCCTATTTATTAAGTTGGATCAAACTACACACGGTGTGCAAATTTGATTGATATCGATTCGGTAGTTTAGGAGTCCATAGCGGACAAACAACGTGACACGTAATTTATATATATTATGATATAAAATGACGTCACAATACTAACATCGATATTCTGCTATTTATGCAACGAAGACATATAAGTGAACAGAAAACCACATAGCTATATTATAAATTTGCTATCAACACTAATTAATTATGGCTGCATAATTAATCCTATTTAATTGTATAACTGGATTTTTAGTTTCGGTTTACTTAATAATATTTTAAATTTAAAAACGTATACTGTATACATCTATAGCCGATATACGGCCAAAACCAATATGCAATCTCAATCCAATTTTAGCTGTCATAGACTGACAATTCAATCCATTTCTAAAGAAAAGCATGCCATATGTCAAATGTCCATGGACTGAGATACCAACCTAATTATTCAACCAATCGTTCAGAGGGCGGATAAGAGATTGAAGATTGCCCTCTGTATGAAAATGAATGTTTACTCATGCCAACAACCTATCTGTCCATTTTGACAGTTGCTTCGATTGGCCAAATCAATCTCGGATTGCTATCGGTGAAACTCGTATGATTTGGGTTTGCGACCTAACTTAATATTCATTGGGAAAATTTATTCATCTTCGTCATCTTCCAGTTCTAGTGATAGTGATTTGGAAGTTTAAATGCAATTATCCGATTGGGATAGTAATTTTGAAGCTGGTAGAAGACAACGTACTTCTGTGCGAAGACATAAGAAGACAAGAATTAATGATGATGAACCAGCTAATGATATTGATCAAAGCGCAATTGACAACGTGGGAAATGCAAGTGTGCGAAGTAATCTTATAAGTGATTATTTTGCTTTATTACTATAATATTTTATAAATTACAACATTTTTGAGATAAATTAAATAAAAATTCAATGCTTTTATTCAAATAAAAAAACAAATTTTTAATACAATACATCCTTGCTCCAGGCACAAAATCTATTATTTTTCTAATTTATTTAACAATATATTTTTTTCTATGGCCCATAATTCTCTTTTATGCTCTCTTGCTTCCTCTTCAAATGCCCATTGCTTTCTCTTATTTAGAAGCTCTTCCTTTCAATTGACTTTCAATTCCTTCGACAGACAACAATATCATGTCTTTGACTTTTTCCTCGATAGGGGTAAGAGGAGTAGCAGCACTAGGGCCACCTCCTGTGCGATATGTTTCAGCATGTATCAAGGCAGACTTTTTTCTTGTAGCCCTCTTTAAGCTTTAGCACTGCGAAAGTTTACCCCACTTGTGCTATTAAAAAGCGCCTCCAGCGTCTTCCAGCACTGCTCTTTCTCCTGCCAGGTGATTGAGTCACTCTTTTTATTTTCTAATATATTTTTATGGTCAGCAACAAGCGAAGTTAGAAGGTCAACTTCTTCCCGGCTGAAATTGACGCTTCTTTCACGTTTTTGCGTAGACATTTCTTTAGGTTAAAGAACCAACCTCGAATCACAAAAACAACATACATAAACTACTCAGAGAAAATTTATATTTGAAAGGTCAAGCCGAAGGCGCCGAACTAAAAATTAAAATATATACTAAAATACTCAATAACCTAACAAACAAAAATACCATATGAAAATGACAGCCCGTTTCGTTACAAGTAATATTAAATGACCAACAAAAAGGTTAAGGTTCTATGTTTTTCTATAGAATTTTGTAACTTTATTTGTTCGTAACAAAAAAACAAACAAAAACGTTGCATAGCTATTTGCTACTTTATCCATACATTGTGAAACAGACCCTAAGTCTTACTTATTTTATTTCGTTTCAAAAACAGCAAACTTTTGGTATGCTTGAACACAATATATTGCATTGAACGAAACGCGGTCGAGAGGGAAGGATCACGCAAAAGATTGCTGTCAATCTTTTGTCAAATAAACAATCGGATAGCAGAAATGTTTATTGGCATGCAGATTGGAGATCGGTCTTTAGATATGAATCAGTCCAAGATTGGTTATAATCATAGATTGAGGATACATTATTAATTTTGGCCGATAAACGCTGTTATAATATTCTCTTGTTGACGGCTGAAACGTCAAATTGTGTTAGTAAAAATTTGCGTTCAATAATAAAAGGATGATCGACGGAGTACGTAAAGCTGTCTTAGCCCTGCACCGATACTACGTTGTGTCTTTGTACCGCGCGATACCAAGCTTACGACAAGAACGCTTTGAACTTTGAGAGGATTAAACTGAAATTGCCAATACAAAAACGTAAGGATCACTATTGGTTACACAACGTAGGGTCCTAACCACTAGACCTACACGGCCCGTTCTCGACAAAAAAGGCCCGTAGGGGGCCCGGCCGTGTCCTTACGGGTCCGGGTGGTCCCAACCCCCGGGCCCAACCCCAAATAAAAACCCAATAAAACAAAATAAGATTAGGGTAAAAACCTTCACCGGGGAGGGCGTGGACCTTTCCTCCGTAATTAGCTCAGACCAGTGAACTTCCGTCCTGCCCTTCAGGCGATGGACCACCTCGTGACGGCACAAACCGACGACCGAGTCTCGTAGGAGACGGCCTTGCGCTAGCCACGGGAAAACAGCGAGATTTCATTCACGGAACGAACCATTGGAGTATTATATTATATATATATATACAACAGCGCATTATGTGTCTCCGCACGAGATATAA